ACGTGGCAGATCTGCAAGCCATTCCGGTTCCCGTGAGCTTCTCCGAGCCCGCCAGATAAAAGTCTACCTAGGTACTTTGTTACCAACGATGATTTTCCCATCGTCATGGTCAGAACTATAGATCAACTCTCCAAACTTCAAATCTATCAAATTGGCCGCAAATCATCCCATTCCCCCCACAATCTCCCGCTCACTCCCCAGTATCAATTTCCAAGTCAATTTGCACCCCATTACCAACCCCATAATCCTCCAGTGTCAATTTATCCTTAAACGGCCGCTCTCCCTGTCTCTTCAACATAATTTCATGCGGTTGTCTGCCAATCCTCGCGGCTACCTGCGCTTTAAAAAGTCTAATTGGATCACTCGCCAAGCACGGAATGGCAGCTTTCGTTCCCAACCGATCATTAACATGAACAATAATCATGGCTTCATTCGATGGCGCCGCTGAAGCAGTGACGGGTGTAGATATCGAAGCTGCAGGTGTTCTAACAGGAGCAGACATAGAATCCGTGGTTTTATTTTTAGATTTAGAGGAAGATGAGGCAGAGGAAGCTTTGAATTTCGAAAATGCAGATGCGCCGAATTTGCTGGCTATGTCGAGTGTATCTTCCTCCTCTGGCTGCTCAGCATCTTTTGATTTCTCTTCATCTTTCTTTTGCGCTTTACTAGTAGAAGAAGAACCAAACTTTCCAGCTACATCCAAATCATCATCTGCAGCACCTTTTGGGGGCGAAGGTCTTCTTCGTTCCGGTTCGCGCTCACGTTCGCGCTCTCGTTCTCGAGTTGGTGATCTTCTTCTATCTCTTCTGGGCGATCGCGATCGTTTGCGGTAAGTTTTATCGGCATCGCGTTCAGGAGATCGGGAGCGAGCTCGCTTTTTAAGTTTGAGACCTGCCATGGTGTTTATGAGATTATGAAGAGGAAGCTCTTGCAGCTGGCTTGCGATATTCTGGTATCCGTTCGGCTAATTCTCGGTCCCTTTTTCAATATCACCAATCTGTGATGTGATATTAGGAAAAAACCATATCCTGTTTGACATTTTGAGATTGAGATATTGATTACAACACTATTATAACCATGGCACTTTAAATCTTATCCTATTTCTATACAGAGTAGTAGTATGATAGTGTTTATCTCTCGTGTGGATACCTGTAGACAGACGGAAAAAAAGACTATTTTCTTGTACCAGATGGAAGATTGATTGCAGTGATTATTTTGAACAAAGCTTTTATTGAAAGTGCTGACTATTTTGTCAATGCAAAATATGTGTTATGCAAAAGCATCTAAGCCTAAAGACAATACCCTGACACTGCCGTCCCTACGCCAATTTATAAACAAGCAACCCTATACGCCCAGACTCATGATATCCGAAGCATTATGATACAGAACTGAAAGAAGAGTTACGTCCAATCAATCAATCCTTGCTCTTCTTCTTCTTCTTTTTCTCAGACTTTTCACCATCGTCTTCTGACTTTCTCTTCTTGCTGCCGTTGACTTCTGGTGTATCATTTACAGCGCTCTTTTTCGCTTCCTTCTCAGCCTTTGCAGCCTTTTTAGCTTCCTTTGCGGCTTTCTTGGCGGCCTTTTCAGCTTTCTTTGCAGCCTTCTCGGCCTTCTTAGCTTCCTTGTCTCCCTTCTTGGGTTTCTTCTCAGAAGCATCACTATCGTCGGAAGAATCAGAACCAGATTCTTCAGCGACTTCTTCGATGAGTCTAAAATAGTTAGCTTTGAACGTGATGTGTGAGCAAGAAGCATTTTAACTTACTGCTTGTTCTTCTTCTCTCTGATAGGAACTGTGGCAGCTGGTTCATCTCCAGCAAGTCCATCTGCATCTGCGTTGTACTTGCGGGCTTCCTTGACTTCCCATTTACCAGGAGCTGAGGTGGTCTTGCCATTTGGTCCAACAGCAACACCTCGAGGAAGGAGGGGCTTTCCTTCAAGTCCTCTAAGGTGACGCTCAATCTTGGCACGTGAAGTGACACCCAGTGCAGATCTCTCCTCGTCATCAACGTCGTCACCCTTGCCTTCACCTTGTGCACTCCAGTCTGATAAAGCATCAACGCGGAGACCAATGGCTGCCTTGGCTGCCAACATACGGGCGATCTTTCCCTTGTTTTTGCCGGTAGCTTGACCAACCAATGAAGCATGATAGATAAGACCGTACTTTGGTGTGTCATGTTTCGTTTTGAGAGCTCTGAATAGAGCCTTCTCAGCACCAAGAATTTGGATGGTACTGGCAGGGCTCTTTGCGAGATTCATGAGAGATCCAGCGTGGGCGATCAATCGAGCTCCAACCAAATCACCGACCAACTCAGTCAAGTTGGGGGCAATTGCTTGCATACGAGCAGTCAAGTAGCTTGACAATTGTTGGCGGTATTCGGTGAAGCCAACAACTTGCTCAGCCAAAAGCTTGATGTTATCCAAATCTTCTTGAGTGATTTCAGTACCCATACTAACTTCAGCAGCAGCTTTAATGGCAGTTTCGATTTCTTCTGGGAGGATATCTGCAAGATCGGTACTGGAAGTGTTGACGCGCATACCGACCTTCAAGATGACTCTAGCATAGGCCAAGTTGTCGTTAACAATCTTGCCCATTTCTGGGAAATGCCATCCGTACCATTCCTTAACTCTCATAGCGTACGTGTTTAGCTCCTTGTCCAGGTCGTCCAATAACGAAATAGCTTGTACAATCATAGTATCAACCTTATCGGGAGAGAACTTCAGCTTGTGGCGCGACAAAGAATGCGACAGACCGAGCGACATGGTGGAGATGTGTTCGGGAAGGAGACCTGGGATCAAAGAGGGGAGGTGATCGCGGATTCCACGGAAAATGTCATTTGTTTTCGAGTCGGAAATTGGTGTCAGAGTCAAACCTGGAAGTTTGTTGATAGCTTGTCCCAATTTAGGATCGGCGACTGCCAAAGATGCCTTCTTCTCATCTTTCAAGGTATCGAGCAGTGATGCAAGCATAGGTGAAACCTTTCCCTCGACCAACGAAGCAACCTCCTCCAAAGCTGTCGCGGCACTGTCGAACTTTTGGAACTGCTTAAGCTTCAATCTGATTTGTGTAATTGAACATGTTAGAAGTCTGTATCTCAATTGGAAATGTGCGATGTTGGATCAATTGCACTCACAATCCATTGATACCCTCTGCGGTCTCAATTTCTGAAGCAACATCGTCCTTCTTCAAAAGCTTTTTGTCAGCCTTGAATAAGACCAATCCAGCCGCCGTCTCCGTAAGAATAAATAAAGGCGCCATTGTGAAGAAATAATCCAAGTCTCTTCGTGGTGATGTTGTTCAATGGGCGTCCAAATTCTGAAGCTTGAGGTTTTTCGCAAGGAATAATTTTTTGTTCAAGCAAAAAATAGTGGCAGACGCTAATGAGAATCTCGAGCCAAACAGGGGTGCCCACAGTGGCTTAGTGGTCAGGTCAGGTGACAAATAACCAACTTCATTGAACCCACTCGCAATCCATGCAAGCAGCTCTTGCGAAGGCAACTCAACTGGCCCAGACAAACCTCAAGCAACGACAATAGATCGTGTTCGCAGACAACGAAAGAAAATGGAAGGTCTATTTTTCAATGTTCAGAATGGGTAAGGTTTTAGAATCACGACTTATACCATCCATGACTAATACGTTCGTAGCTATATCGAGGGTATCGTCAGAGGTTATCGCAACGGACTCTTGACTGGCCAGAACTATAATAATTTGATTCAATGCGAGACTATCGATGGTAATTAATTCTCTCATGTACATCAAATACATTTAGTAACGAGGGGCTAGATCTTAAGCTTCAACTTGGGCCAGCGTATGGCGATTTCCTAGCATCACTTCCACCTAATCCTTCAACATCTACCCTCGCTGCCAAAACGACCGACAAACTCATCTCCGAATTTCGATACCTACGCGCAAACGCGGTCGGCTCACTTGCAAAGTTTATGGACTACCTGACGTATGGATACATGATCGATAATGTAGCCCTTTTGATTACTGGTACTCTCCATGAAAGAGACACCCGAGAACTACTTGAACGATGCCATCCTCTTGGTTGGTTCGAAACTATGCCTGTCTTGTGTGTGGCTACAAACATAGAAGAGTTATACAACAGTGTCTTGATTGAAACTCCATTGGCACCCTACTTTAAGGGGAGTTTAAGTCACCAAGATTTGGATGAGCTCAACATTGAGATTGTCCGCAATACGTTGTACAAAAACTACCTAGAGGACTTCTACAACTTTGTCAATACCGACCCAGAAATGACCAACACTCCGACAGCTGAAGTTATGTCTGAGATGCTCGAATTCGAAGCCGATAGAAGAGCTATCAACATTACCCTCAACTCTTTCGGCACAGAGCTATCAAAGAAAGACCGCCAAAAGCTATACCCAAGCTTTGGGCGCCTTTCTCCATCGGGAACGATTTTACTTTCAAGAGCAGAGGATATAGAAGGTGTTAGACTTGCTGTTGAGGGAGTTAGTGATTATAAGGGTTATTTTGATGCCACTGGAATGGGGCAAAGTACCACAGGAGCGGGCAACATGAGTGGAGGAGCTGGCGGTAACGAAAAAAGTTTAGAAGATCTGTTTTACCAAAAGGAGATGGAAATTTCCAAAGGTGCATTCACAAGACAATTCACGTTTGCCATTGTCTATGCATGGGTCAAGTTGAGAGAACAGGTATGTGTAATCCTCGTACACTGCTAACGGATGGACACTGACATTCACAGGAAATCCGCAACATCACCTGGATCGCCGAGTGTATAGCACAAAACCAAAAGGAACGAATCGGCAACTACATCAGTGTATTCTAGTATGGGGATAAATATGTTATTAATAGTCTTTTCTTCAAACCTGACAGTTGGCTGTTGGGTCTTTGTACTGGTCTAGTTGGCGAGCTGGCGTAGGGAGATTACGGATACTGATTTCAAAATTGCAAGACAAACTTTTACACCTTTCAGGTTGTATCCTCTGGGCGTGGTGATATACATATTGATATTATTTACAGACTGATCTCCCCTTTCCATGTACCCTCTGTCAAGCCCAAGGTTGCGATCAAATTCTCCCATCTATCACTTCCTCGCTCCTTTTTCCTTAAATAGTTTAGCAGCTTCTGCCTCCTGTGGACCAACAAACGCAAATTTCTCTTGTTAACTTTATCCTTATTTCCCCGCTTCGATTCCAGTTGATTCGCCAAGACCCTGATTTTTGTAGTCAAAATCGCAATCTGAACCTCAGAACTGCCGGTGTCAGGACCAGCTCTTGGTGTCTTCTCTGGCAGATCAGCGCCTTCAATAGCATCGCGCGTGGGTGCCCTGGGCCTCAATACTCCATCCGTCTGGTGGCGTCCAAATGTATTTATGCACCTTACAATATTCGCTCTGGTCTTATCCTTCGAACTTGCATTTTCTAAGCTTACAATACGTGCCAATGCTGCGGCCGCATTCGCATGGGCCTCCTCGTGCTGTTTCTTTGCCTGCTCCTCGGCGTGAACATCTGCTAGATCTCGATTCTCGGCCAATAGAGGCTCTGTAAGGTAGTATGAATGTTGAATGGCACCTTGAAGTTCAGTTGGGGTCAAGAAGTGATTCAAAAGAACATTGTCGACATTTTTTATCTTCGCGCCCTCTCCAGAACCTTTGGTTATAGTTGCATCGAGTTTGAGTGTGGATCCTCCAACGTTATCAAGAGATTCCAGAAATGGTGTCGACACACCCCGTACCGGATCCCCCAATGATGATTCCCGCTCCTTCTTTAACACGGCTTGCCTTTCCAAATTGGACTGCTTTCTCTGTCTAGATTGTGCTAATGCGTAAGGATCTTTATGCGCTCTTCGCTGGGCAAATGTAGCCGCATTAGCTGCGGATGTGGTTGAGAAAGAGCATGTTGATGAACTTGAGATCGGGCGAAAACACACTATTGTTACGATTAGATAAATTGATTCATGGATTTGTCGGTGTTTTCATCTTACAAGGAGTTGCACTCAATCGCGAAATGATGGATATTCGAGGAGGCATTGTGAATGTGTTTAATCAAATCAACTCATTTATTTTATCAGCCCAGTACTTTGCTCCCCTCAAAGTCCCATCTGGATAAATTTCCGAGCTAACCCAAATATGATTAGCTCGTATCGCAATGTCAAGCCTCGTATTTATGGCAATAATTACAAGGGTCAATTGACAATCTTGATTAGGGTTTCGCATACTTTTATCTCGCACTATCGCAAAATTATTCTTCGTCCTCAGCAAATCGACAACTTTCGACAACCATCTTCCAAAGGTTTGACCAAATTCGACAACCACATCAAATCGCAAAGATGGCACCTTCTCAACTCCCCGCGATTTTCAATCCTACCTCCCAGGATATTGAGCAGCTTTTGGCCGCTCAATGCCATTTGGGAGCCAAGAACTTGCAAGTTCACATGGAGCCATACCTCTGGAAGACTCGCCCAGATGGAATCAATGTTATCAACATTGGCAAGACCTGGTATGTTTAAGTAGAACGAAATTTAAATGCGCCAGTTGAAAAAAGTTCGATCTAATAAATCTATTTTTACAGGGAGAAGATCGTCCTTGCTGCCCGTATCATCGCAGCCATTGACAACCCAGCTGATATCTGCGTTATCTCTGCTCGTCCTTACGGTCAACGTGCCGTCTTGAAGTTCGCCGCCCACACTGGTGCCGTTGCCATCGCTGGTCGTTTCACCCCTGGTAACTTCACCAATTACATCACCCGATCCTTCAAGGAACCCCGCCTCATCATTGTTACCGACCCACGTACCGATGCTCAAGCTATCAAGGAGGCTTCCTACGTTAACATCCCAGTTATCGCCCTTTGCGACACCGATTCCCCAACTGAGTTCGTCGATGTAGCTATCCCAACCAACAACAAGGGTCGTCACTCCATTGGTTTGGTTTGGTGGATGTTGGCCCGTGAGGTCCTCCGTCTCCGTGGTTCCATCGCTTCCCGTGAGGCCGAGTGGGACACCATGGTTGATTTGTACTTCTATCGTGACCCAGAAGCTGAGGAGAACAAGGAGGCTATTGAGGAGGCCAAGGCTCCAGGTGCTGATGAGGTATGTCATATATTCCAGATTGATTTTGAGAGATCTTTTGCTAATCAATCTTACAGGTCGGTGCCGCTGCTGTTGACCAAGGATTCGCAGGTGCTGGTGACTGGGAGGTCTCTGGTGCTACTGCTGGTGCATTCACTGCTGCTAGCAACACTGCTGCCGCTGGTGGAGCTTCATGGGATGCTGCTGAGCCATCTGACTGGGCTGCTGCACCAGCTGCCGCTGGACAAGAGTGGGCTGCTTCCGGTACCGAGCAATGGTAAATGTCACACTACCCAACAAAAAATAATTAAGATGTTTCCGCAATGAACTGTATTCCTTGGGGGTAAAATTTGAAAGCACTTATGAGGGAAAGATACTCGATTACCGTTCATGTGTCATGGTTTGAGAGGGAAAGCCCTGTGCGTTCAAAAGGAGTGGACTTGATCGTTATTCCGCTCTCAATGAAATGAGTCTCTGGTTGTGGCATGACAATCTCAGATTATCTTTGCAGAGGATTGATATTTTCGCTGTGATATGAAGCTTCGTCGTAATAAATGGAGCATGTCATAAAATCTAATCAAACGCATTGCAAAAATACATCGATCCCAGACCATGATCCAGTGTATTTGTGCATAATCCTCTTGCAGTTTCTTTTGTATTCCCATGCCATTTCCTTCCACTCAATCTCTTGTTCGCCCAAATCGCGACCAACCAGTCTGCCTCTAAACTCTCAGCACACGCCGGTTTATTATCCATCCATTCCCTGTCAACCCCCTCATAGATGCATCTTTTCTAGTGAATTCCTATTCCTGCCATGGTCAGCCATGCGAAAGCTAGCTTCAAGAGTTCTCGTTATGCCTAGCAAAATTTGTTTTTTAATTGTAAAAACTTGCGAGCAGAAATCGCTCCTCAGATAGGTACAATGAGAGGAGAACAGAAAGCCTGAGAAATGCAAGGGCGTTGTGGACAGATGTAAAAGACGATTTGAATAAAAAATTGATTAGATACTACCTAGGTAGGCCTTGCTTAAATTATTTCAGAACAGAAATGTTTTCAATGCGCATCGCCAGAGTGGTCTGGTGCAAACAATACGGTATGTGTTAATAATTCTCTTTCGAAGTTATATATATCCTATTTATATTATGTATATTACTCAATAAGATACATACATAATCCTTAAAGATTGTCAAATAAAACAGGCATCTTTAGCCTACATTGCTGATATCCCCGGCCTGTCTTTCTTCAAATTATATACAACATTCATCTTAACAATTCCAGGATGTAAAGTCTCAATTATGATTGACTTTCTAAGAGTCCATGTCGTCTGATTTGTCTGTCCATGATATATATACCTATGTGCGCAAACGAACACTCTCTAAGGAAGTGAGAGGTAGAGTTCAAGAAGTTTGGGGTAGTTGGGTGTTCCGAGACCTGTTTCATAGACGTTAGTATACTATTGTAAAAGCACAAGATCTTATACTCTTCTCAATCCAACAGTGCCCAAGACACTTGAGAAAGATAGAGAAAGGCAAGGCAAGGAAAGGAAAGGAAAGAAGGAACACTAACCAGTAACGGGATCCCATCCCTCCACTGCCGTAAATCCAGCAGTGCCGCATCCTTGGTTGCCTCCACTAGTGATATCATTCAATACACCTGGATTGGCATACAACACTGGATTAACGAAGCCAATAGGTGCCTTGCCAGCATCGATACGCTCAGCGTTGATTAAGGTAAAGATGGCGCCAACCACGGGAGCAGAAGCAGAGGTGCCGTAGACGAGAGAGAACACGCCGTCGACAGCAACGACATAGTTTACGCCGTTGGCGGAGATGTCTGGGAAACCGCGGGTCACTTGGGAGTTGTTGTATTGGGCGGAGGTGTAAGGTGGGAGATGCTCGGCAACTGGAGGAGGTTAGTGCGGGGTTTGGGGGTACAAAGGTAGTATATGTGGATAGGGTTGAGACGGCCGTGGTATCCAAAGACTGAGTTTACTTACAGTAGGTTGCTAAGGCATCAGTTTGGTAGTCGGGAGTTGAGAAGACGTTGGAGAATCCTCCACCAGAATAGACTAGAGAAATGTGATTAGTAAACATCAAGAGGATTGTCAGACCAATTAAAAAACGATGGTACTTACTGACAGACTCAGCAGCCTCTTCTGGTTGAGTAACAGTAGCGTTTGGCTTGACTTGGGTAGCTCCGACAGCTGTAATATATGGACATGTGCCAGGGAATGAAGGGTTGAATGCTGTTGCAATTGTTAGAATGAGATTTTCCAATAATATATGAGATGAGATGACATACTGTTACCAGCGCCACATACGCCTCCATTACCCGCAACACCGTAATCACCAGAAGAATACAAGACGGTGACACCTTGAAGACCTAGCTTAAGATATTCATTGCATTGACGTATCTCATAGGCGGGGGAAAGATCAGTCTCATCATAACCATAGGATGTGGAGATAACGTTGGTAGCAGCGAATCCACCACAGTTCGCAGGTCCTTGGTAATAGTAGCTGGTGTTACCGTTTGGATCAGGGTATACTGCATCGTAAACTGGATCGTCACCGCCATCTGTTGTGCAATAATCGCCATCGATAGCATCAAGGAAGTTGTTAAATGAAGCTCCCTGTGCAATGTCTCCGGTTTGATATAATGTTACCTCTTGAGGGTATGCAAGTGCCATTCCGTATTCGAGATCTAAGTCCTGGGTTGAATTAGGTGGGTAATTTATGAGTGGATGTCAGAATCAACTCACTGATTCTCCGTTATAGCTGAAGGACTCAGCAACTGTCTGAAGAACACCTCCATCTATGGAATCGAAGACGGGTCTAGACCCGACAAGTGCAGGAGAGAAGTTACCAAAGAAAAGATCCAAATCTATACTTGATGTCAATATATGCAATACTAAATGGAAAGCAACACTTACCCCCAGGAAGATATGCCTGTGGCGTATATTCGACAATACCATATGAATCTATGAATGGTTAAATTTGATGCCATCAGCGGAGAGGCATACTTACTTCCTTCCGCAAAAGGAGCATCTTTTGGGAGCTCATACAAAGCCTGGAGACAATCGGGTGTGATGTGTGTATTGCAAGTTGTCAAAGCCGAAGATTGTAGTTTAGCGTGTGATGTAGTGGAAACAATTTTGCCTTGCTTGGGCAATGATGGATCATTTGGTGATCCCACTCTGTGGCCTTCACCAATTGCTCTTCTGGCAAGCTGATCTTTCTGACGAGTACTCAATTCTCGCTTCTCCTTTTGAGGTACAACCTTTGCATCGAAGTGAAGTGTTGGTGTAATGAAATCAATGTGTTTGCGAACGTTTTCAGGAACGCTGTAGTCATCACAAGCAGCGGCGGTTTGGCCACTTTTCGCATGTGTATAAGACTACAAGTTAGAGAATCAGTGATTGTCTACCGAAGAGTATTTTAGGAAGAGATGAAAACCAAAGCTGTGGGTGGACGAAGAGAATTGTGATGGGTATAAACATATAAAGTCGAACACCGGTAGAAGCAAATGAGAGAGACGTAGTTGGACTTACGTAGTACTTAGTGTTGAGAAGAGACTCTGCTTCTGCAACGGTAACGTTGGCATGAATCCAATTGAGACTTTGTGATTGCTTTACGCGGTCGCTTTTTATTCCATACTCTGCAAGCCATTGGGTTACTGCTCTAAGCGATTCAGCACTTGGGGCAAAGGTTTCAGCGACCTTCTTCGCACTCCAATGATTGCCAAAGTTTGGAGAAGATGGGTCGGAAACATCCATCAAGTATGCTTCGGCATTGTGCAAGTTGTTTTGGGTGATGGCAAATCGCATTGGGAGGCTTGAATCCGGGTGCAATGGATTCTCTCTACGCCAATTGCGAGGTGCTTGATCTCTTCGCTCATGAACAACATGTCTTTTCTGAGGAGCTGGAGCGGCAATCACTCCAGTCAAGAGACCGTATGCAACGATAAGTGAGAAATGCATGATGTGAGCAAAAAGAGAATTCACTTGAGCTCTCAACCACTTGGGGAGAGCTCAAGTTCTTATGGAACAATGAAAATAGCTATGGGAGCTTCCTTATCACCTACCATGTCTGGTAAATAACTGCGAATATCGGTACAGAGCTCTCTTCCTAGAGTGCTAAGAACTTGGCAAGTAACGTATTGCAAGGCTGCATGCAAGGCTACATGTGTATTCAGGGGTGGTCAACAGGGTTATTGACACCATTCTTGCTCATATTCGACTAGTATGATAAGTAACTTGCAGCATTGATCAGATGCAATATCTCTATCTCAACCCACCTGCATGAGGGAAGACAGTAAAGGAAGGAGTTAACACGATGTGCATTACCTGCCTGATGAAGAATAGTTGGCAGGTACTCGTGAAGGTGTAGGAAGTGTTGTGATGAGGCATGTCAATAACACCATCAGTAAGTTGCAACGTTCCAATTGATCTTCACACTGCTATCTGAGACTTTGGGGGGTAATAAGACGTTTGAGCATCTCGTGCTCACACGAATCATCCAAAACGCTAGGTATCACTGAAGAGTGTGCGTGTCACGACATTTGAAGGCTTAGGAGAAAAGAAGGGAATTCAAAATGTGTGGGTGTTGATAAGACGAATACAACATGTGCCGAGATAAGGAATGTCTGGGGTGTTGCTGTGTGTGATGGCATATGAGGATGGTGGCGGTAGTGGGAAGAGCGTTGATTCGATATTCATTGGTCGTGGATATCAGCGTGAAGATAGAAATGAAAAGCCGGAAATGCTCCAACGGCTATGGCTTACATGCAGAATGCAGAACGAATGTAACATGGGAATGAATCAAAACAGAGGTAGACGGAAGATTTTACCCCTCCACTCATGTGTCGTGTGTCTTGGTAGCCTTACTGCCTTGCAAAATACGATGAAGCTTGACTTTGAGATCTTCCAATATCATTGGCTCTCTTTCTTCATTTTCATCTCCAGCAGAATGAATCTCACTGGATGATGAAATTTGAGTCTATTTTTAATTCGGAAAGTTAGAACACTGGTGGAAAGTTAATTAATGCAAAATACCTTATGATTGGTCAGTTATCAATTAGCCTTGCAGATGATCTCGACGCTCGAATTATAAGTACGATATATGATTGGCCTACAGAGAGAGACGATCCTCTCACTAACCTCATATCGCTCACTCCCACCGTTAGCCTTATTACCTCAGCCTTGCTCGTCATGGATTTTTCCCGTAACACCCAAATTCAAATTCATGCATTCAATTTTAAGCAATGTTTCAAACGATGCATAATCATTTTGAAAAATCTTTTGAGAAATATGCATCATCAGATGTAATGAGAGATTCTATTCCTATCTAATACTTACATAAAACACAACCCACAACCCACAAACTACAACTTCATCACTCATCGATCGAGATAGATCGAGCAGTATGTCTATTCTCGGGGATTTTGTTGAGCCACCTGAGGTTGAGAGCCGTCTTGTATCTTTCTATCGAAATAAGACGCCGGACAATGCAGGACGACTGCTTTCGCACATTATGTCTTGGGATTATGAGAAGTTGGAGGATATACACGACTACATTCAATGGCTGTTCCCTCTTCCAGAGGAGTCTATGTTTTCAGGCGCTCCTTTAGTTGATGAGAATGTCTTCAATGCGTTCCATGCATTTAATTCTTCAACCGAATTACAATGTAATCTCAAGGGCTCTTTGATTAAAATGTTGGACTTCTATGGGTTCAAGTTCGCTGATGATTTGGATGGAAATGATCTTCCCGTTGTAAGTTTTGCATCAAATCGACAACCATAACTGATCGCAAAAGCCTAACATTTTCTCTCAGATAATAAAATCCTCCAATTTCTATGAAAGATGCTCCAATTGGCTTATCAGGAGAGATCACAACCATTTGAGAATCAGCAGAATCCTTCGCTCTCTTCGCGTTCTGGGCTTAGAAGCAGAAGCTGCCGCATTCTATAAGGCACTGTCAGACATTGTTTACAATGGACATTCTCAAGTTGTCAGCTCTCAATCTGCGGAATTCTGGCGACGCGCTGCTGAGAGACCTTTACATTGGGCACCACACCTAACCGAGAGTGAATGTGCCAACGATAAACAATGGAAAATAGGCCTAGATTTCTTGAAAGAATACGAAAGATTCAACATGGCTAGAGATTTGCAAAAACAGCATGACGCAAAGAGGGCTCTTGAGGAAAAGAAAGAAGCAGAATTTCAAGCCACGAAAGCACACATTGCTGCAGTCACCGCCGATCGAAAGAGGAAAATTAGTGGAGAGGCCAAGACTGTCCCGAAAAAGCGAGCTAGTATTTCACAGGAAAGCAAAGGTCAAAATTTCGAACCTCAGCGTTCTGAAAAAGAAGCTGTGGTTGCTGATACACGTGAACCCATATCAGAATTGCAGGACGTCGTACAAGATGAAGCACCACCAAATGAACCTGAGCCTTTTGAGCCTACGGTTGAACCCCAGCTTGAAGATCCTAGACCTACGCTTGTTGGATCTGAGTCTATTAAACCTGAGCTTCTTGCACTCGCCCTTGCTAAACCTGAGCTTGAAGATCCCAGATCCAAACTTTTTGAACCTGAGTTTATTGAACCCGAGCCTCTTGCACTCGCACTCGCTAAACCCGGGCTTGCTGGACCCGAGCATGCTGAGCCTAAGGTTGACCAACCCGAGCTTGAAGGTCCCAGACCTAAGCTTGTTGAATCTGAGTTTGTTAAACCTGAACTTTTTGAACTCGCGCTTGCTAAAGCCAAGCTTGAAGATTTCAGACCTCAGCTTGATAAACCTACCGGTGGACGTATGGAACGAAAGTCCTCGGAACGCGGTGAACAATCTGCAATTCACCAAATTCAACAATACCAGCTCATGTCTCCTCGCCAACCTTGATTGATGTGAACTCATGGCTTACGAATCTCCCTTCCTCCTCCATTCTCTCTCACGTCAAAAATTTGATGATCTAGAGGATATAGAGTTAGCTGATAGGCATTGGGTGGTATACAGGTCGCGGCTTTCACACTATGGCGTTCTGGGCTACGTGTTTCAGGGGACGGAGTTCAATGAATCGAATTAAGGAGAGATTAGAATGTGGAGAAATTACAATATACCCAATTTTCTTTGTGGCTTCTGGCGAAAAGGAAAGAAAGGCTTACGAAAAGATACACGCATGTCGGATAGAAATACACAGATTAAAATGAAACTTATGGCAATGTATTCTTCAATTCAAGTCTAGAGAATATGATCCCATTCTCGTTTCGTACTCAAATTATAGCTGATGTGCATATATGTTGTAAACTGAAATCAAATTAATCTATCGTACTTATCATAATACAGATAATGGCTATCATCATTCGGCACCTACCCCCTACCTGTATACCTGTAGAAGCGAGTCTGTACCCGAAACTTGAGATCGACCACCTAACCTAATACATCGAAATGGGAATGCTGCATGCATGCAAGCGCCTCAATGAGTTCAAAATGTGCCAGAATAGATGACCGATTTTGAGTTAGTATAGCAGTCACTTACTCATGAACAAAACCACTGTGAAAAAGAAATGAAATACTCAGACTAGAAATTTCCATCTCCTCAGCATTTCATCACCATTCACATTTATTCAAAACAGCGAAAAACAGAAATTGCAAAGATTCTAAAGTCTAAAGATCCTTCTATTCTTTACGATTTATACTGACTCGTCTAAACCCGCATCTACGTATAGTATAGTCTACCCTAGGTACCTAGGTATTCAATACACCATCATCCTCACACACATCAAACCTTGCTTTGAAACCCCCTCCTTTCTATTCCTTATTTTTCTTCGGATCCCCATACCTCAAGGTTCATAAGGAGATTTTGCGCGCGATCCCGTCATCACTCTACCTCCCTTCTCAGTAACCAAAACCGCATCTTCGATTCTTACGCCGAAGCCAACTTTTTTGCCGAGTTTGGTGGCTTGGGAGGAGGTTATGTAGATTCCCTTTTGGTGTTGTTGGGGTTAGTTTTGTGGTTTTGTTGTAAGGGAAGGGGGAGTTGGTGAGGGAGAAAAGGGGGGAAAGAAAGAGAATAAGTAAACTTACGGGTTCATTAGTAACGACTTCTCCTTTCTTCAATTTTTCTCCATTGACCCCATTGAGATATGGATGCTCGTGCATTTCCAACCCTAATCCATGACCTAATCGATGTGTGAAAAACTCTCCGTACCCCTTCGCTTTAATGACATTCCTAGCCGTCTCATCCACAACCGAACACGTCTCGTTAATATTCATCTTCTCGATCGCCGCCGATTGCGCATCGTATACCAAATGCCATATATCCATCAACTCTTGATCAACCGTAGATGTGGATGGGAGAATGGTACGAGTTACATCACTTCCATACCCATGCAACGAAGTCCCTATATCCACCAATACAAATTCTCCATCCCTGAGAACCCGTCCCTTACCACCCCCATGCGGATTAGCAGCCTGTTCACCAAAAAGAACTATGGACCAAAACCCAGCCCCAACACCTGCTTGTGTAAAAAGGCCCTCGGCAGCTTCCACAATAGTTTCCTGACTCATACCAACCTTGATACATTTCTGCAAACTCCTTACCAGCTGCACCGTAAACTCATTTACACCCCTCAAGATATCCAACTCCGTTTCACTCTTCACAGCCCTCAATTCCTTCATTTCCAAAGTCATTAGTTGCACATCCACCCCCACATCCTGCAATCCCGCCGCCACCATAAACCGAACATGTTCATCCAACACCACCTTTTTCAACCCCATCTCTCTACGCAACACCTCATAAGGATTTTCTTCCTCCTTCCACTCCACAATCCTCTTTGTCTCCTCCTCGAAAACCATATCCAAAGCCCCTATCCTCCCCCTCTCAAACTTCGGCACCAGCAACGTCGCTGCCCCCTCCTTGTCCAAAATAACCAAAAACGGCCTCTCAGAAAGTTCAAACGCGCTCGAAACATTCCCAAAATACTCCGTCGAAGCCGACGGCTCCGCAATAAACGCATCTACCCCATCCTTCTCCAACACCCCCGCCAACACCCTCTGTCTCTCTAGAAATTCCTCCCGAGCAATCGGTTCTACATTCAGAAGTTGCTCATATTTTTCCAAGTGCGACCACACACATTCGTGGAGAGATTGAGATGTGAGCTGAAATTCCCGATGGCGATGAATGGATTGGGATGAGAAATACGTGATGACCATTGCGACAAAGAGGGCCGAGGCGAGAAGTGGAAGGCATGTCAGGTGATCTTTATAACGGCGTCGTTGATTTTTTGAGGGGGTATCTAAAGGGAGAAGATATTCCCTCATATCTTTTTCTAACGCCATGTTGTATATGCTCGTATCGGAATGTATTGGGGTTGTGGTGCTTGATGAGGATTGCTTGTAGTCTAAAATTTGGCTTGGTTGAATTGGAGATTCCAGAGTAGAATGGCCCGGGCAGATACCATCGACGATATTTGCTACCTCTCTCTGAATTGGGGAATGGCACAATAAAGACTGGTTTTGATGGTAGAAGTTTATTGTCCTCCCAATGTTGAAGGGTTTGATGAAACCTGGAAGTTCACCGTGAAAGATAACCTTGAAAGATAAAGAAGGGGCCGTGCATGATTTCATCTCGTCACATCAAATCGAACGGCACAGGGGTGTATCATGAACCAACCAGTTTTGAGAAAGGTACTATCAAATTCACTCATTGCAACAAGTAGATCAAATTTTATGAATATCTCTATAATTGTATATAAACTTATAAAAGAGCGATATAGACAATGATTTCGCTTTTCTGATACGAAAAAGTATTATGATCAATGAATCTCTCATATCCAAGGAAATCTAGTCAAGCAAGAAACATACAACGCATACAACGCTAATCAGTACCATCCCCCTTCTACTTCTTTTCTACCACCAATCATCATTCATAAACCATGTGTAAAAAGATAGTGACTACCTGAAAGTTTTCACATTTCAAGTAGGGCATTGACTCCCGGCTCACTAGAAACATAGATAACATCATGGCTGTCTGTGAAGCCGTTGAATCTCGTTGCAGAGCACTTGGTGTATGCGCCCATACTCTCAAAATAGAGCCAGTCTCCAACGTCAAGATTGTGATTGAAGCGAATGCTTGCAGAAATACGATCAATACCGTCGCAAGTTGGACCCCAGATTGAATACTCAGTGCCTTCGAGCGTTGCTTGACTTGCCAGAGTGTCAAAGTAAGAGCGGTTGCCAGTTCGAAGGACTTGAGCAATTGGGTTTTGATGATCAAACATGATGCTAGAGAAATTGCCATAAAGACCATCATTTAGGTAAAGCATGTAGCTCTTTTCCAACGTTTCTGGATCTTCGACAGTTCGGCGTGCAATGACGTTACAAGCGAGCGTGAAAGCATTGGCAACATAGTAGCGTCCAGGTTCCCCGATAATTTTGATGTGTTTTGGCATATATTCCTCGAGGGCATCACTAAGTGCGGAAGCCATTACTTCAAATGTCTCAGTACAGAAACCTCCACCGACGTCGAGGGTATGCATGTAGTAGCCATATGTGCGAGCTTGTTCGAAGACGGTGTGAGCATCCTGAACTGCCTTCCTGAATGCAAGAGGGTCAGAGGCACCGGATCCTACATGAAAGCTAACGCCAACAACATTGAGGTCAAGTTCTCTGGCTAGAGCAAGAAGGTTGCTTGTTGCATCCATGGCTGCTCCAAATTTCAAGCTCAATCGGCACAAGCTCGAGGAGTCATCGGTAGAGATCCGGAGAAACAGTTCGGCTCCTGGGAACAATTTCTTAATCTTGTATAACTCATCGCTGTTGTCGAATGTCATTTGCTTGACTCCTTGCTTCTCAGCATATCGAACGTAGGAGTTCGTCTTGCATGGTTGAGCATAAATAATACGAGCAGGGTCGATGCCAGCCTTGAGGACTTGCTCTATCTCGCCCTTGGAAGCACAATCAAATCCTGTGCCAAGTTCTGCCAAGAGACGAATGACTTGTGGGTCTGGGTTGCATTTGACCGCTGTTCTGAAGTTAGAAAATTTGAATCTGACACGTGAGTAGGTATGCAAGACTGACCATAAAACGGTTTGACTCTGGGTAAATTCTTCTTCCACCTCATGTGCTGTCTGTAAACCTCGCCTAGATCAGCGACGAAGAACGCATCTTCGTCATCTGCCTCGCAGACATCGTTATCAATATTTTCCACCCTTTGCTTTAAAGCATTTCCAATTATAGTTTTTGCGGTATTCACGCCATTGAGTTCAATATAAGAATCTTTGGGATAGTATGATTCGATACTATCAAGATTGTTATTGTTTTCGTAGGTAATAATGGCGGAAGGTGACATATCCTCGTATTTGGCCAAGGATTGTTTGATATAGTTGTGATTTGTTTACTAGTAAATGTCAGTATGGCCAAGAAAGTGTCAGAATGTAGCCAAGCAATGCCAGTAGGTGATCAAACATACTTGTACTTTGAAAGCCCAAGGGTATGTTAAGGTGGTCTATAACGATCAGATCCTGTGCTGATCTGGCGAGGTCGGCTCGACTCTTCCTCTGCGAGAGGAAGGCCCTTTAAACTCGTCCTATGCGGCAGCTGAGGAGTTTCGGACGAAGACGGGGTGTTGTTAAACAACTCGTAAAACAAACGCTCAAGCTGATTAAAGTGCAGCAAAAGGAGGTGGTGTGGTGTTGATGATGTGCCGGTTAGGACGTTCGGAGTAATCTTGATCAGAAACTAGTATCGTGGCCGTTGGAGCCGTGCTGGATGTTTCGCCTTTGATTAGACCAAAGGCAGTCGAGAGGGAAGTTTAGATTCTTCGTGGTTAGAAGATCTGCGAGTGAGGTATTAGCAACAGTGTCTTGAAATGCCGCATCTCCACGTCCGAGTGACATGCGTGAGGCGTTTAAAAATCGCTCTGATCCTCGCACCAGAGGAAGATGACAAAACAGATACGATGAAGGACGACGATAGCACTGCCCTGCGAAGGAACAGATTTTTCGTCGGCGGGGTAAAGATTATGTTCATGTACTCACCCGGAAAGAATTTTCTCAATATAGCCCAGACAAAGACTATATCGTGCAGGTGTTTTGGATGATTGAAGACGATGAAGTTAAACAAATGGATAGGATTCAGCACAGCAAGTGGCCAGTATATTCCACTCTCTGTGTTATGTACTGAATAGGTTATGAAGGTTGGTGGCTAGACTGGCTTCTTTGGAGCTTTTTCGTGGGTGAGCTTGACGCTTGACCTCAGATTTGGCTGTTTAAAAATTTGTATTAGACTAAAAGTTTTAGCCGACCCACTCCTTTCCAATAAAAAATACCTCACATCTCACACCTCTTTTGTGATTTCCCCCGATTCTCACAGTTTCCCAACTTATTATATCACACATATGCACATACATATACAGAGAGAGGGATTAGATACACGTCGATAGAATTTAACTTATATCTCATTTAACTCCTCACCATCCTGTGTATATTTGATTTAGGATGAATACGAAGTAGGCATTAGGTACGGAGACGACGCCAGGCATCGATGAAGTTCTGCGACTCCGCCCAAATTCCAATTTTTACCGCGATCTTCAGGCACGTCTTGGAAATTTGAATCTTTTGACTGGATGACGTACAAGAAGTAAATTTCAATATCTGGTGATAAATTAATAAATTCCCCAATATTTTTCATGAATCGCTCTTCTTATTCGTGGGCTGCGTGGAGCGGGCGGCGGGTGCCAATTCCAACAATAATAAAATGACCAAATACTTGAGTACCTACGTTAGCGAGGTTTAGATAACAAAAGACTCGAGTCGGTCAGCAATATTTGTCTCAGATTAGGCTATTTTATATGCAGAGTCGGTTAACTTACCTAGTGTTTTAAAAGTAAATCGGTAATATGAAGACTATCGTTACTAAAAATATAGTCGACCATCTACTCCGTACTATATGAACGGCTATAAACTTCCGAGATGCCCCAGATCAACTACCGGTATTTTATATCGCATTAGTCCAAACTGTTTCACGCCGAATACTTAAAAGATTTACCTGCTCAATAAGCTTTAGTGTGCTTCGGTGGTTGTAGTATGGCTGGCTGCAAACGTTCACCTCCACCATTTTTTAACCCCTCTTTGACCCCTTTATGAACCGCCAACAACCTTCCAAATATCCAAATATCCCTCATGTAATACCACACACACACAACCCAGATCCTATCAGGTAGCCAATAACCTCCCCCCATTTACTTTCTACAGTACATGGCTCCGGTATGTCCTCACATCTTTAGTCCGCCATCCCATGCCTCCGGGACCACAGCTCTGAAATAAGATGGAACCATAAAGCGACAACTCACGACATGTATGCCTGGTTATACACTAAATGTTGCTATTGCGCTAGTCTTCTCAGAGGAAGACGTGACTTGTGATCTAACAGCCATCAAAATAGGACTGCAGACGTGATAATCTGTTCGTAGCGCGAAGAAAGAATTGAAAATTAAAGAAAGAGGAAATAACATGCCTACCAAGGTGCATCGTCATAATGTTGACTTAGTTCGTTCGAAAGAGTCATGATGTCGAAAGGTTATATGTCATTGCTCATTACGTGCTAATCAAATACCTGTCATGGACATCGCTGATCTTTGTCTTTACCTATCATACATACCATTCAATCATTAATATTGTACATCCCAAACGCCAGTATATGCAGTTGAGTGGAATACAGTATGTTACAGAACTGCGGGTTCTATGATCCGAAAGCAGCGTCCTTGACATCTTCCTCATCCATGACCTCAGGTTGCTCTTGGGCAAGTCCCAAATTCTTTGTTTCCCAAGTTCCATCTACCCATGGCTTTTGCTCTCCAAGGAAAACCATGTTACCTTGGCCGTTTTCTAATGCATCAACGAGGTATTTTTGCGCAACGGTCTGGACTTGCTCCTTGGTCACATCCAATAAACGCTCACGTCGCTCTTGAACCATCTCTTCCGAAACCCCAGATACGAACCTGGTCATGCCCTCCTGACTGACCGATTGAGGTGCATCGACACTTTGGAATACAGATAACTTGGCTTCTTCAAGATCGCGTTCGGTCCATTCCTTTTGGACTGCCCATTTACCAGCGTTGCGCATGATCGACATTGTGTTTAAAGGATTTGGATCACGATAAGAGTAGAATCCAAAGATGCCATCAAGTCCCCGCGAGTAAGCTCCTCCGCCATAAGCTCCGCCTTTCTCTCTAATCTCATGATGCAAATGTTTATGAGTCAAGAGCTGAGAGAGTATTTGAAGAGGTGCTCCAGCTGGAGAGGTATAAGATACCGTCGGGAGAGCAAAGCCACCATAGTATACTTGATATGGCAGAGGAAAGAACGTCTTGGTGTTTCTTGTGAAATCTGGGGGAGGTACTATGCGAGATGGCAATTCAGATCTTGGGATTGATGATAGAAATTGCTGAAGGGCGGCTTCGTTGTTTGTGACACTTTCACTACCACAGGTGAGGGCAGTCCTAATGGTGGAAGACCCAGAGAATGCGAGTCGCTGAATCGTCTTGAGTTTATCAATAACATCGGCTAGTCCTTCGGCCTCGGGTCTCGAGGCAAGTGAGGTGGTGAGCTTGACTTGAGATAATCCTCCCACTTGTTCCTTCAAACGTCCGTATTGTGTTACGCCAGCTTCAGCATAGCCTCTGGCAAATGCATGCCCAGATGAAGCGATGTTGTTAACTGCACCGTCTGCCGAGCCCTGCAAAAGCTGACGGATGCGGACTTCGGCATCAGGGCTATCAAAATCAGTTTCAAGAACTAGTTTTCGCAATAACCCGAACATCTCAGGCACGTTTCGATCTAAAGCAGTCCCGGAAAAGCTCAAGCCCTCGGATGCCGACTTGAAATCTGTGGGAGACGAGGAAGCATAATAGCCGACACCAATTCCTCCAGTCTTAAGCTTCATCAAGTCTTCTAACTGCTCCATAGTCATGTCCTTTGTGCCAAGACGCATTATAGCATCTGTGAATAAAGGAATGTATGTTCGCAGTTCCTCGGGTAGATTTTCGAAAGTGTTGATGGCTCTGAAGTAGGTCAGTCCATTTGTGGGTGTTTCTCGCCATTGTACATTGACATTTTCAACCCTGGAATCCCTTAATTCTATTTTCTCGTCCTGTCTTGGGATGTCCTTAACATGAACAGTTGGGAGACAGCTGAGATCTTGAGTGTTAGATTTTCCTTGCTCTTCCAAAAGCTCTAATTCCCTCTTTTCTAACTGGGCACGAGCTTCAGCTTCACCGCCAGCCTTCTCAGTGACCTCTGCAATCTTCTTTGCGAGACGTGTGGCTTCTTCGGCTACAAGCTCATCTCCATAAGTTGTTGAAGGAGCCATTGTGAAAGTGAGTGTATTGTCATTTAGTAAGTACTTCTCCAATAATCCCTCCAAATAACCACCCTTCTCGAACTCTTTTTGAAATGCAGCAACCGTGTCGTTCCAAGCTAGCGCTTCAAAAGGATCAACACCCTCAAACCACTTAGGTTTAATTCTTTGCATCAATGACATACCAAACTTAGCAGTTTTATGCTTCAAGCTGAACTCCAATTGATGTAGGTAGCCATCGATTTTCGATTTCTCAAATCCATTTTTATGTGCTTCTTGGAAAGTCTTGTGGATTGCTTCCTTAACTTTTGGTACATCGGCTTCTTTAACGCCGGTTAACCCAACAGAGAATATTCCGACTTTTCCAGAAGGGTCATAGCCACTATTTGGACTCCATTCGGTTCCCAGGCCAGCTTCAATTAAGTTTCTATAGAGTGGAGATCCATATCCATCCATGAGTAGAGCAAACATTATTGAAAGTGAGAAAGTCTCTAAAACATCCGTAGCATCACCTACCAGCCATGAAGTTGAGGTCTTGAATTGCATATCTGCATCTACCAATGGGTCGATAGGTCCTGGAACTGTGATAGTCTGTGGACCAGATGATAAATCGATAGGCTTTAGTACTTCCATTTCTCCATTAATGCGCTCAAAAGCATTTAGTTGAGCATTGACCTCTACAAGATGATCTGCCAAAGGCATATCGCCGTATGTAAAAACTTTAGCATTACTTGGATGGTAATGCTCGGCGTGGAACTTCTTTAATTGCTCATATGTCAACTCGGTCATCTTTTGTGGATCACCTCCCGAGTTGTTGATGGCAGGGAAAATGTGGTCTTGAAACCTGATGTAGTAAAGATATCCAGCGTCCGACATCTGTCCCTTCATCTCATTGTACACAACACCTTTGAACACCAATTTGCTATCTTCAGGTTTGGCAGCGTCTCCCTCGATTGCCACTCGTGGGTTCTCGGGCCCTATTCTCCATCCCTCTTGTGTAAAGTCGCTCTGTTTCAATAGTGGATGCAATGTTGCATCAAGGTAAACAGACATGAGATTTTTGAAATCTTGTTCATTGGTGGTGGCGAAAGGATAGAATGTGTGAGAAGACGCAGTGAATGCATTCATGAAATTTGACAATGTTCTGGGTAGCATTTTGAAGAATGGGTCACGAATGGGATACCTACAAACTATTCAGCGCGATCCAATTTAATATGGATAATAATAGAAAGGAAGACAATTTACTTTTTGCTTCCACATAATGTTGTATGTTCCAATATATGAGGGACTCCAGTATCATCTGGAGGATTTGTCTTGAATCCAATAGAGAAGACATTATTCTTATCTTCTCTAGCAACATGTAAATAGTCTGCGCCCGTCTTATCATGCTTCAAATGAAGTGCTGTCAGCTCAAGTTCTTGAACATGTTTTGATCTCAAGAGCGTAAATCCATGAAGCTTTTCACCTGGCTTTGGATATTGGGCGAGTTCCGTCACACCTTTTTTTGCAGCTTGTCGTAACATATTTCTTGTATCAATATGTCATCAAAGACACAAAAAAAGTGTGAGAGAGGTAATGAAAGGACGATGGAAGGAAGGGAAGGAACGAGGGAAAATTAATATGGTGAGGCGCAAAGTAAGATGATTACTGATTTCACCATTGGAAGGTTCGCTTCAGTGAATTTTCGTGTTTTTGATTGCCCGATTGTCCGGCTCGGGCCACACTAGCTTGGATACAGTCAACCTCGTAATATCTTATTTTGAGAAAGAACGTCAACGTGCAGAGAGGCAATACATGAAAAATCAGAAAATCGAATTGCGACAAAACTAGTCGTCGCACATAAACGATAAGTACCCAGATACTCACACTTGAATTTTAACAATGTCGACTGGGGCAAATCCCACTTACGCACCTGGCCCTACGAATTCAAGAACCACCTCTATGAATGCGAACCATACCCATGCCGATTATCCCAATGGACATCATCACCATAACGATGCAGGAGTTAAGAAGGGAAAACAGAAGAAGGGGACGGATCCTAGTGAAGCCTCGAAACTTATTGCGGCCAAAATCTCGCAACTGGAACTAGATGCAGCTGGAGAGAAGGATCAAGAGGCAGAGATTGGTTCGTTTTGTCCATTCTAGAAACTCCCTCCCTATTACCGATTTGCATGCTGCACCAGATTTTCGCTGTCGTGTGCATTGTCTGCTCGAAGTGCGTCGCGGTGGAAGGAGAGGGGTAAGCGCTTCGCTTCAGAACTGAATTATTGAGTGTGGTCGATTCAAGAATGAGGGGTGTCCTTTTTGGAGGGGGTTCTATGATAGATCGAAATGCCCCTGCTCTCATTTCTTCAATTTGGAGAGACCACAGGGCTGATATGCTCCTTCTGAAGTCCCCCGCGAGTGCAGATGGAGGGGCAATGGGAGATCGAGACCTGCTTGAAAAAATTGCTAACGTATTGTGCTATCAAGAACGCGAAGTCAAAAAAGCGAATCGAGAACTGAATTCCTCAATATCCAAAATGGACGATCTTCAAAAAATCGAGACACTCCAAAAGAGGGTCACGGAACACCTTGCGGACATGAAACGACTGGAGCGAGATAATCAGAAAAACAAGAAGCGTGGTGATGTGTTGCAGAAGGAGAAAGACGTCGCGAGAACCGACCTTGGCAAAGCCGTCGTCCTCCGAGAAAAGCTGGAGAAACTCTGCAGAGAATTACAGAAAGAGAACAATAGACTCAAGGTGCGCATTCTGTTGGGTGCATGCGATTTTACAGATGCTAAGCGGGGTTAGGGTGAAAACAAAACTCTACAAGATAATGAAAAGATTGCCAAGGAAGAATGGGATCAGAAGTGTAGTGAAATTCTGTGGCAGTTCCAGGACTATCAGCATACAAAGGATAATCCAAAAACTGTGGTTATCAATCCTGAACTTGACGAACTGTAAGTTCCTCTATGTTAACGCTAGTCCAAGCACTAATGCCCTTCAGTTTTAAAGCAAAGTTCAAGTCATTGATTGATCAGTACGAATTACGGGAGCTCCATTTCCATTCTCTTCTGCGTACAAAGGAGCTTGAAGTTCAGTATAATCTTGCTAGGTTCGAGCGTGAACGCAGAGCTGCTGAGCAGGAGGTAAACCGGGCAAAACAGTTGAATCAGCAGGTTCTAACCTTTTCTAAAACCGAAACCGAGTTACGAAACCAGTTGAACATTTATGTGGAGAAGTTCAAGCAGGTAGGACCTACTTTTCTACATTTGATATTCGTTTTTTTCTGCTATTGGATGCCTAGAGCTAATTGCCCGCCAGGTGGAAGATACGCTCAACAACAGCAATGACTTATTTCTAACGTTTCGCAAGGAAATGGAAGAAATGTCGAAAAAGACTAAACGTCTCGAAAAGGAAAACATGGCTTTGACTCGAAAGCACGAAGCTACCAATAAGAACATACTTACGATGGCCGAGGAGCGCACCAAGAGTTCCCATGAAATTGAGGCATTAAAGACGAGAAATGAAAAGTTGAGAGATATCATTGATCAGATGCAGAGGCAAGGACGAGGTCTTACCCAAGGCATGGCAGGAACCGTGGAGGGAGAGTATGCTGAAGGTGATTTGGAAGGCACGGAGAGCGAGTACGAGTACGAAGAGGGCGATGACGAAGGAAGCGAGGGAGAATATGACGACGATACAGAGGAAGATGTTCACCCTGTGCCCCCAAGACCCTTTGGACCTGTACCACCACCACCTCCAGCCTTGAATGGAATGGCGGCTGCGAATGGCGTACACTGAGAATAGTAGCAAGGCCCGTCAGTTACACAATTTTGTATTACGGTCTTGACATCCATTTCGCGATGCGTGGTTGTCTTTGTTTGTGCAAATAAACTAGCGAAGTACTTCTTTTGCGACTAATCTGACATCGAAACTGGGAGACCCTCTTTACACACATGTATATGTACTAGCAGAAGAACAACTAAATAGTCAACATCGCTAGCGCGCAGGAACAATTAATTTTGAGCGAACTGGTTGACATTGTGTTCTGTCAATTTTCTCAATACTTTCTACGCGTCCCTTTGTGAGGGAAAACAAACATCATTATTCCTACTCGAGTGCACAAAGAAGACTCGTCCTTGTTCCATTCCTCGTCACATTGAAAGGATTGTTCCTCCGTAACCTGATAACAGAATCTTTCGCATAATACACAAGCTTTTTTGCCGTACTAAAATAGATTATAGACTAACAGAGGCACCGACACTCAAGTCTATGCTTTACAAATTCCCAAAACAATTGCTGTAAACTTAGGTAGTATCCTTGCTGGTTATGAATGACCTTTTTTTGTTCATGTAAATACTGTTGGAGCTGCGAGAAGTCTCGCTCAACCAAATGATACACCTCTAAACATGAGAAATGATTCGCATCACCCGCACCTGAGATCGCAGCCTAACGACCTCTACCAACAACCAGTGGTTGTTCACAGTGCACACAAAGAGGCTTCCATTGTCAATTTGAAAGAAGTCTCCAATTTATTACTTGGTCCAATGGATGGGTTGATCTGGCGGGCTAGCCTCAGTGTGTGGCCACAATTCTTCTGTTCAATGCTTGAACAACATTTTGGACCTCAGGAATGTACGGAAACATTGCTAGATTAAAGATTGGTGTTACTCTCGCATTGCGCTTGTTGTTCAGGTATTAAAATAAGATTGAAACAGCACTTCCTAACCCACTATTTAAAGGCTCGTCTCTTTCCCTATCATTCAATTCCCCATCCACTCATCCACTCCTCGAGCATCATCTACAGACAATTCACTCAAAACTTTCAAGCAAGACTTTCAAGCAACAACCAGAATCGTCTACCAGATCCTACTCGCAACCACTCAACAAGCAAGATGCCAGCCACACCAGATCTCAGAGCACGTCTCATCCGAGAGGATCAAGTCGCTCCAGCTTCCCCATCCACCTCGACACTCGCCCCTGGATAAATCCCCAACCACCCTTGGGTCACCTTCGGAGGTGAAACTCTCGCACTCTCCATCAATCTTGCCCAGAAGAATTATCCCACAGACACCCAGGTCCAGGACTTCCATCGCATCGTCCAACTCTACTCGGCATTTACTAAGACCTGCTTGGTCTCAGTTACACTTCCCGAGTACCGTTTCGACGTCCAAAAGTCCAACCATAGCCACGTCTTCTTCAATCTCGTAACAGCCATCAATCAGTTCCCCCGTCTTGGTCGCTGCGAAGTCGTCTTTCGCATGCCGAACGAAAACTTCACCCAGCTCACCAACGCTTGCCAGTTCTACCGTCTCAACTTCAAACAATGGAAATTGTTTAGCAAGATCGGAACTCAACAAGTCGAACAAGTCAAGGTTGGATCGAGAACGGATCGCAGATTGAATGGTTGGTTCAAAGTCAACATCGCCGGTTCTCCATGAGAACTCCGATTCCAAACTCCACCACCAGTCAGTCTAACACAATGGTAGTTTCTTCCATCTTTCATTTGTAACTCAGTTTTCTACCTCGAGAATCGTAGTATCAAGATCCACGGATCCAACACAATGGTAATATCTTCCATCTTTCATTTGTAGTACAATATGGGATGCGATAGGAGTTTTGCATTTGATTTTTGCAAGAAAACCCAAAAACAAACCCAAAACTTCCAAACCCCCACAAAAACAATCAACTATCTTTCTTTTCTAATATTGCTCTTTTCAATTTCTCATGTGATTCCGATGTTTCCTTCTTTCTTTCGTTTTCGGTGTGCTATAACAATGTTCAAGTGGACATTAGTGATAAGAGAGGGGCGAGTAAAAATGAGATCGAAACTGCGTTAGCAGAAAACAAAACTAAGTTAATTGACTTGATGTCTCAAGTAGGAGTTCTTCATTTTCTCCGTGCTATTCAGAGCGCCAAATTCAATGAATTCTATAAAACCCCATATGGTAAGTTTCCCCTTGATGATGAAGTAATTCGGTGACCATGGATTGATTAATTCAAACAATAGCATTCCAGCAGTTATGAGATGACATGACATTGACTGTTATACCTAATAAGTAGTCAAAGATAGTTCTATAAGAGACTTATGTATCGTCAACTAACAATTAACTATAAGTCAGGTATTGTAGCCCTAGTCGTATCGTCAGATCACACATCGGGTTAAACGTCGGGTATACCGTGTATCAGAACATAAACTACTAATCATCGGCCAAATTGACCAGTAAATACCACATCATAACCACATAATTCTTCTTCAAAACCCCATTCAAACCCCTCTAACATCACACAATTCCAGCTGTTTTGGCAATTAGCAATCATCTTTTCCCCCCTTCCCTGTGCATAATACGACGGCCCGGGTCGGCAAAACTCTCCACAAAAGCGTGAAAGCACCACCCCCTGTAAAACTACAGACCGCGCATCTCCTTCCCTTTTGCGTGTGATAAGGACGGATTTCGGATGATCCCATCCTCGCCATCCACTCCCACTTCTACGCGCCAACAATCGTGCCAATGATTGCTGCGGGGATTACAAATGCTTATCTGGATTTCTATTCGTCTTGCACACCTCCAGTCTTGCTAGTATGTTATTTGTAAGTGATTCAGTGACAGTACCTGCGAGCTGTCTTTCTCCGCAATACTACTCTGTTCCTGGATTTGTGATTGTTTCTCTTGGCTCTTTATCCACCAATCGTTGGTGAGATGCGTCGTCTCAATGCCGAAGAATCACGATGTCGGGATTTGAGGGAGGGGCGTCGGTGCTAATGTGCCTTGCAGCGGATCATGGTATCTCTGATAGGAAACTACTCTATCTGCTTATTGCAGATATCGTTCTTCAACTGCCTTTTTGGATCGGCACCGTGCATGTGAAGAGGATTTTGCAGGGGAATGTGGTATTAATCTGATAATGAAAGAGTGGTGCATGTATGATGCTATCATTTGCAGATATGCGCGCGTTGTGAGGAAGGAGTATATGAAGAAGCCTCTGCCCGTCTTAGCTTTTTCCCTCTTCTCTTTTTCCTGTAGCATTCTTTAAAGTGCCAACTTCTTTTCTATCTCCCCTCCAAGATGTATTTCCCCGTCCTCTCCACCCTTACCGCTCTTTCTCTCCTCTCCCTCACCTCCGCTCGCTCACTTCCCCGCGCTCCAAACTCAAAGATCTCTGTTCGTAGTGTCGTTCCTTCTAGACCAAGAAGTATTCCAGTCGTCACAGACAATGTCTTGGAACTTACCAAGAAATCTACCGGAGGCTCTAAAGTCAGAAGCGCAGTTAAATTCTTGAAGAATTTGGATATTGTTAATGGAAGCTCAACTGCTCTTATCAGTTTATTTGAGGGAGAGGAATTTGCTACGGATATTACATTTGGAACACAGACTTTCGAGGTTATGTGAGTGCTTTTCCGGAAATATTTAACTCGGTGATTGGAAGAGATCATGGACTAATTTTTCTCCTCTCATCTAGTGTCGACACCGGATCTAGTGATACTTGGTTAGCCGAGACTGGATTTTCTTGTGTCAATCTCGATACCGGAAAGAGTGCCTCGGAAGCCACCTGTGCATTTGGCCCAACCTACACAAAAGACTCTAGCTTCAAAGTTATCTCGGGCGAAGAATTTTCCATTAAATATGGCGATGGAGAGTATCTCACTGGTGTGTTTGGATCGCAGCCCGTGACTTTTGCCGGTATCAATGTAACCACCACTGTCGCTTTGATCACATCTGCTGCATGGAACGGTGACGGAACTACCAGTGGTTTGGTCGGTATGGCGTATCCCGCAATGTAAGTTTTCCCCAACAAACATTGAACAGTATAAGGGGAAAAGCTCATACTAACACCCCATCAGCACATCCGCCTACAAAGGTTCCACCCAAGTAGTCTACAACCCCATCTTCACCACCATGTACGAAGAAGGACTCGTCGACTCCCTCTTCAGTCTCGCCATCGAGCGCGACGTCTCCGGCCCCGCCGGCTACCTCGCACTCGGCGGTGTCCCCCCCGTTGATTTCGTACAAGATTTCGCCAGCACCCCCATCCTTGTTACATCCGTCACCGGATACCCTAAAGCATACGATTTCTACACCATTAAAATCGAAGCCGCATATCTGAACGGAAAAGCCATCTCCGGCGCTGCAACTCCTCAATACATTGTCGATTCGGGAACTACGCTTAATTACCTCCCTACCACGATGGCCAATGCTATTAACAAGGCTTTTGTGCCGGCTGCCGTGTACAGCAATGATCAGGGCTCATATGTCGTTTCCTGTACTGCTGTTCCACCTGTGTTTGGTATCGAGATTGGTGGTACAGTCTTCTATACTAACCCTCTCGATATGATTCTCCACGCTGGTACTGATGATGATGGAAACGACGTTTGCATTAGCGGTATTAATGATGGTGGAAGTGATACTGCAAATGATTTGTATATCTTGGGCGACACCTTCCAGAAGAACGTCGTCACCGTTTTCGATGTTGGGGCTGGCGTGTTGCAATTCGCTGCTAGGGAAAACTATACCAGTAATGATACTTACTAGGTGGAGCAAAGAGAAGGAGAAATGATTGAAGGGGGAGCTGCTATTTTGAAGATTGGAATGGGCACAATCGAGAGCTTTGATGATTCTATTGTACATATTTAAAAGCAGTGAATATAATGAATTTATGAAGGTACAACCCATAATGGAGAACATAGATGAGAGCAATTTTTAGATTATTCCTGATCAAACAAAAGTGATACGCAAATTTGAAGAGAAGCCTGCCTTGCCTTACACAAGGAAGCAGAAAGCTCGCCTAATGCAACTTGAAGTTAGAATTTTGAATCTTGAGAAAAATTTAGAGAAGAATTTACAAGTTGCTTTATTCGAAATACAATACATCTTTCTGAAAACAATCAACAAACAAAAGTATAAAGATGATTCTCAACTTTGATTTGTTCTCATCCTAACTGAGCCCAAGAAATCCTCAGAATTTGCGATTCTAACAGTTTCTGGTCATTGATAAGGGGCCCAACCAATCTCATCAATAGGTGCCTGGACCCATTGTCTGTGTTCTTCATCCAAAAACTGATAGATGTTGGCCATCAAATGATTGCTCCATCCTTCTATCCACCAGAGATTTTCCAACTTCTTAAAGCACACCACTGAATACGCGAGAATGGCTAATGCTTCTTGAGTACCATCATTCAGACGACTCAAGTACTCATCAGGAACACGGAAAAGCCAGATAAAAATGTCCCCCGTCTCGTATTGCTCGGCTGGACACTTGTACATGAATTTATACGATAGTTCCAAGCCGCGGATAGCTTCGGTGTACATTTGTACTTCATGCTCATCGGGTACTGTGGTTTCTATTGCAATTCTTAGGTGACTGAGATGTTCAACCTCATCATCTGCGTATGTTTGACGCAACATGACTCTTTCTTCTCTGGTTTTGAACAAGATGGCCAAAGGCCCTGTTAAAAGTGCGTCTTTGAATTGATCGATAATTGCGGTTACGCCTCGAAATAGCACAAGCCATGAGGTAATTCCATTTTCGCCGACAATTACAAATTCATCAACGCTGCGAGGTCGACCTAATGTGTGCATACCGGTGAATATCGAGAAGACATGAAGCGCTGCACAGGTCTCAGTGGTAATATGAGGAATGAAGGCAGTGCCTTGACGGAGTGCCGCCTCATGTTGCTGCTTTGAATACTCATAGAGTCGTTCACTCTGATCAGGCCTGTTGCGAGCCATGTGCAGGGCTGACAGAGCGAGTAGCGCACGCATGACGAATTCGTGCTGAAATGCAATCTGGACAATCGTGGTGTGATATATGTTTCTCACCACAGGATTGGAGTTCAGTGAGTTGCTTGTTGATACGCAAAAGTTGTTGAAGACCTCCAAATCCATAAGATTCAGATATGGGTCTTGGCCCTCGACAGTTCGACCCAGCACATTATTTGGAGCTGAAACTGAAGTTGATGATCCGGGAGAGGAGAGTGGCGTATTCTTCGCTGAAGTTGCTGCATCCGCTTTTGAATAATCACATTGTACTGAATGCTTGATACAATTCAAGCAGCTAGGTTTTCCTTCGCCACACTAATCGATGAGTTAGCCACTGTTGAACTGAGGCGGGCTATCAACACTCGAGTGAGGGCAACGAGAAATTGACACTAAAGATACACAATGTCAAATGGAATGTTTTATAGAATGTGAAATGAAGACTTGGAACTTACCTATGTGTGTACTCTTGCCGGCTTGGGTAGTAGGATGTACAACAGATCAGTCAAACGGCAGCTTTAACTAACCTTGATCTTTCTCCTCTTACAATTATTGCACCCCGTCCTCGTTTTCCGATGAGAGCGACGAGAGGAACTGAACATTTTATCGGGTCTTGTGACATCATTATCCATCGTTATGGTTACAGAGTTATCATCAGTCCACTCTCGAGTCTGGAATTAATGCTTGCCGTTAATGGGGAACCTCGGTGTGGGTGCGATGTAGGTCCCCGAATACGTATCACTCTGCTCTGTTTCCTTGCGAATCCCCAATAAGCTCTTATATATATGTATGTCGCAGGATGGGTCCAGCACCTGGTATTAATACAAACATATCCAGAATGTAGCCGTTGATGAAAAATGAGTAGCTAAAACCAAATCGGGGATTTCGGCAGAAGCAGTAAAGTCCGAAGAACAATTCAACAATGCTTTAACGTTCCTCTTTCGGGTGATGATCTATTTAGGTTTATTTGAGATGTTAACCTTAATTGATAGATAGCTGCTGACTGTTCATTGAAAACATCGAACAAATGAATCATATATGAAGCTTGAATGAAGTATCGTGTATACTCACTCACCCACTCACCCACTCACCCACTCTACTCTCATCTTGGCCAACATCGACTTATAAAAGATTGGTGACAATGCGAGCAAGTGCATCGTGTCGCACAGAAACAAGCGGGGTTGGTCTAAGAGTGGAAATACCAATCACCTACCCGTATTTAAGGTTGTGAGGTTATGTACAGATATATGGAGTAAAAGGGTTGAGACTGATGTTCAATTCCTATTCCTGGATCAGATGGGTAAATTCCAAGGTTCCAGGTTGTTCCTGGTCTTCATAGAATCTTCTTATCCTTTATTCTTGTTATTCTTTTCACAAAATTCAAAGATCGGAACGAACATACAATAGCGGCGATTAAGTTGATCCGGATAGAGACCGAAAGGGGCTGTCACCGGTACTTATGGTCAGTAGGTGGGCCACGTGGAAGAATAACCTATAGGGCTGACAATATAAGAATGGATTGATACTATTTTGAGCTTTGTTGCGGCAGCTTGATTATTATGATTAATTGATTCGATTTTCTATCCAACTTTCTCAAGATTTAGTATGCCTCCGACGGATAATCGGAAGATGACACCTCAAAGCAATTGCTTGGCTGTTTCTCTCTCACTGACGTCAAGCGGATAACTTGGTGATGTTCTCTGTCAGGTACGAGGACAAAGGACGTTATGTTATTTATACGTTACGTTACGTTACAAGCTATAACCATACAATCACATCGATAACGATTATCTGCAATTCCAAGCTCGTTCGTTTTCTTGATCCATTATACAACTTTTATCTTCAATACTCACATCTACGCGTGTTGACTGGTTCTCACAGCATTTGGCAGCCCTCAATTGACTCGGTTGGCACTCCTTCCCCCAAAGAATCCTCTTATTGGTGGTTTCATATCTTGTTGAGGGCTGACTGACTGACTGACTGACCACAGACTTCTCCAACATGTCATCTCAACCCTCGACCATCGATCAATTGAAGAATACAGCTTCTTCCGCATACGAGACTGTAGCCAACAGTGTATCTGCGATTTCTAAAGATGGCGTTTATGATCCTGACCAAGACAAGAACATGGTTGGGAAAGACGCACACGGGAACAAGTTTAGGAAGGGCGATTTTAAAGATAAATTGAATCAAGCTGCTTGTGGGGGGCAACCAGAAAAGGAGGAAGAAAGCCTGACAGAGAAAGGTAGGCAAATAATTCAGCATTGCTGATCAGGCTGAACCATAAAATCCCAATAGCAGACCGCTAATGATGAAAGCATTTTCGTGGATACCAGGTATAAGCGCATTACAAAAGTCAACTTTGGAACAAGGACCAGAGGATACAACGGTGAAGGGCAATGAAGCACCCCCAGTTCGGCCACAACACGATGTGCCAATTGAACAATTCTTGAGAAAGCAATACCATAGCAGAAGTGGAGATGGGATCCCAAATCCGGGGGAAAGTAGTTGATTGACCTTAGGCTTCGATCAACGAAGCTTTACGAATATGTACGACATGACAGGAGACATGGAATGCGTATGACAACGATAATATCGTTTGGACAAGGCGTTTGGAAGAGTTCTGAATGGAACTTATCAAATTATATGGAAATGGCATGAATGGGTGGCGTACACAGCTGAGAGTAGCTTTAGTAGGCTGCAGTTCGTATTTGCTTTATGGTACAAGATATTTTGTGGATATCCGCATGTGTCAATACCTGTCATCAACAGTGATTCACCGCAGCTTTGGCCAAATTGTTCCGAGAGCAACACAATGGAACCCGTAAACACACCCAACTCCTTACATATTTATGCCTATTTTTATTTTTTGGCCGCTGCTGCAAGTGCTCAGTCCCTGTCGGCGGGCCTTGGCAGATGGCGATCAACAAAAATCTCAATCAAATATTGAAGCCATCCACAATTTCTCCTATTCCGACGGTATGGAATACCATGATTCGGCATCAAAGTGACTTGAATCACGACCTTTCAGGAGAGTCAAGATGCGGTGTTCTTAAAAGCTCGTATTTCCCTTCATTGTTCAAGTTTGACATCACTCTTCATCCGGACTTCTTTCCTCTTGGTTTTTTACCTGACTAGCCATCTCTCCCCACCAGAAATCGCAAATTCGCAATGTATCGGACGAATCCACAAATTGTAAGCACGCACAAACTAAATCGTACTTAACAGTCTTGAGAATTCTTAGACTTGTTGCCACAATCACGTGAAATACTATTGTCAAAAGATCATGTTGCTAACACGATTTCTAGCATGGCTTTCGAATCATCATGGCCCAGATCATATTTGGCTTGTTAATTGTCCCGCTGGCTTCTTCATACCCATTTGGTGGAGTCGAGACCCGCGCTTCAAGCGTCCAAGACTGCTTAACTCAGCACTCTGTTCCATATCAAGATAGTTCCTCATCTTCATGGGCTACGACCATTTCCCCTTATAATCTTCGGTTACCATATACCCCAGCTGTTGTCACTTTACCTACCACCTCACAACATGTGAGTGACGCAATCACTTGTGCGGCCGCTGCCGGACTTAAAGTACAGGCAAAATCAGGCGGGCACTCATATGCTAGCTATTCAACTGGTGGTAAAGATGGAAGTCTCATCGTCAGTCTCGAGAACTTCAATTCTATAAGCGTTGATGCTCGTAAGTTTGAACGATATCTTGAATATGCGTTCTGAACGATGTCTAATAAAAAATGTTCTAGAAACCAACATTGCTACCGTTGGGGGAGGTGTACGTTTAGGAAATCTCGCTCTTGGACTCTACAGTCAGGGTAAACGAGCTGTTCCACATGGGACATGTCCAGGGGTTGGAATAGGTGGACATTTCACTCATGGAGGTTATGGATACGCATCTAGACTCTGGGGTCTGGCTCTTGATACTATCGTTGGTCTCGATGTGGTTCTTGCCAATGGAACACAACTCCACACTACGGCCACAGCTTATCCCGATATTTTCTACGCAATGAGAGGAGCTGCCGATTCGTTTGCTATTGCGACAGCCTTCTACCTCCAAACCTTTGCCGCTCCATCGTCCGTTCTTACCTTCGCAGCGAGTATTCCCGCAACACTAGATAGTGTCAGCACTGCTGTCTCATCCTTCACCAAACTTCAAGAACTTACTCTCGACTCTATCAAAATCAATAAAAATATCACATTAGGTATTTATACAGACAACTATGGATCATTCAGTCTTAGTGGCTGGTGTATGAGCTGTGATCAGACCCAATTCGAGAGCGTCACTTTCCCAGCAATATTGTCCGCTTTTCCCACCGCCGATACCAGCAGTGTTAAATCTCTAGGATGGACAGATGCTTTAGTGAGTGCAAACAATGGAGGACAACTTGAGGAACCATTAACTGGATATGTTGCTCACGACACATTTTATGCCAAATCTGTGGTTACGAAGAACGCAGAGCCGTTGACTTCCGCTCAGCTAACTAGCTACTTCACCTACATTCTGAATCAAGGAAGAAGTGCTCCTTCCCCTTGGTATACTATTATTGATTTGTATGGAGGTGCCGATAGTCAGATAAATGTGCCTTCTTCTGACTCTTCGGCATACTCTGATCGTGACGCTCATTGGGTTTTCCAGGTAAGACTACTTTTCTTGACAACTCGAGCATTTGCACACATAACTAACATTTGACAGAACTACGGCTTTACATCCAACTCTTTGCCACCATATGATGACGCTATAACACCCTTCGTCGACTCTCTCAATAGCGCTCTTTCAGCAGGTGCACCTAGCGTTTTTGGGGCATATCTCAACTATGTAGACCCAGAACTAAGTGCAAACGATGCCGCGATGCTCGGATACGGACAAACTGCCTATAACAAATTATTAGCGATTAAACAAACCATTGATCCCAACGAAGTGTTCTGGAATCCACAGAGTATTGGCGCTGCTGATGATAACACTGGAAACAATGGTAGTAGTGGAACCGCAAGCTCAGCTACGTCTATATCTACACCTGCACCAACATCTTCATCTACGACGTCAAAAGCTACTGCAACATCGTCGTTGAAAGTCTCAACTGATGCGTCGTGTGGCAATGGGTATACGTGCCAGGGAAGCTCGTTTGGACATTGCTGTTCTCAGTATGGATGGTGTGGCAGCACGAGTACGTACTGTGGAACTGGGTGTCAAAGTGGATTTGGAACTTGCTCGTGAGGAGAAAGACCTTCTGGAGATGATCAGGATGGGTCGAAGAAATAGAGGGAAGATTGAGATTAGAATTCAAGATTGGAGAACCAGAAAAGAAAGAAAAAAACAATGTTTAGATAATAGATGATATACTGCGAGGTATACATGGATGAGATATGAATGGCGTTGAAACGGGATGGCATGATAATGTTTTAATGGGTATTGTTGGGATTTGGAAAATTGGTTCTTATAGAAAAGTAGAAAATGATACAGGAAAATTTAATACCTCATATTGTGATTATGGAGAGGATGTTAATATTTTGAGACTTTATTCTGAGCAAGCAGAGTGTATCGTTCATCTACTGGACTTTTATGATGAAAAAAGAGGAGCCACTCTTCAGAGTAGGGTGAAACTATACATTGAAAATACCAGAGTGACCTGATATCTTGGTATCGGAAAGAAACACTGATATGCTCTTGAATGTAAAGAAAAAGGATGAGAAAGAAATGATTTGAAAGCTTCTTATTACTTTTTATTATGACTTATTACAAACAGAAAAGTTAATTACTTGATTTAATGTTGTATATTCAAAAAGTATAAATATTTTTTCAGTATATCGCTTTTTGGTTGGTTTGATTCCTGGTAGAGCGGGGGCGGGGTAGCTTATGGGGGGGGTATTGATTTGACGGATATCTATCCGAGAACCCCCACGAAACAAACACAAAAATGGCAAGTGGACATGAACGTCGTACTTGTTCTGCCGTTGGTGTGAATTATGAGGGGTACCGATATTGGAGGGATCCATTTACATGGTGCTTTAAATGGTGAGTTTGGTAGGGGAAGGTTCAAAATGAAGACTTCAAATTTCCCCTTTTCAAGTTTAAGTAGCATTTGCTCAATTCTTGTGCTTCCCATTCTTCTTCTATTGTTCATTCCACATTGACAACATGCCTTCATTTGATGAACCAGTCGTGGCCTTTATCGGCCTTGGAGCTATGGGGATGGGCATGGCTACAAATCTCCTCAAAACATTCTCTGTCACTGGCTTCGATGTCTACGAACCCACGCTCGAGAAATTCAGATCCGCAGGCGGAAACACGGCTACCACGCCTCGATCTGCCGTCGCCAATGCAAGATACGTCGTGATCATGGTAGCGACAGCTGCGCAAACACTGTCGGTTCTTTTTGACGATGTCACTGGAGCTATCCACGAATTACAACCGAATGCTACGATCATACTAAGCTCCACCGCTTTCCCCGCACACGTACCGGAAGTCAGAGAATTACTTGACAATAAATACAACAGGAAAGATGTGGAATTGGTGGATGCACCTGTGTCTGGAGGTACGGGCCGAGCAGCCCTGGGTACGCTTGTGGTTCTCGCTTCTGGGCCGGAGAAATCGCTGGCAGCCGCGAAACCGGTATTGGCCGCCATGGCAGACCCATTACATATAATCCCTGGTGGTTTGGGGGCGGGTACCAAGGTTAAAATGGTACACCAAGCTCTCGCAGGTATACACATGATTATGGCATCAGAAGCAATGGGATTTGCTGCATTCTTGGGTCTTAACACCAAGCAGGCTTTTGACTATCTAATTAAATCATCTGGTGAAAGCTGGATGTTAGGAAATAGAGTACCGCATATGTTGGAGAATAATCTCCATCCGTTTTCGGCTTTAAACATTATCGTTAAAGATATGGGTATAGTGACAGCCGATGGCCGTAGAGTCAAATGTCCATTGTTCCTGTGCTCTGCAGCTGAGCAAGTATTGGCGTCCGGCGTACGTTCCGGATTTGGTCTAGACGATGATTCTGGCCTCGTCAGAGCTTTTACCCCCACCCGACCAAGTCTTGTCTTCGAACAGACTACAGTCTTTACTACAAGTGCGGATGACCCGAGATTGAAGCTAGTTGAAGATATACTAGCAGGTGTACATTTAGTCGCAGCAGTAGAAGCAATGGCTTTTGGTCAAGCTATAGGTCTAGACACAGGGATGCTATACGATGTAGTAAAAGGGGCAGCTGGAGCAAGCGCCATGTTTGTGGATAGAGTGCCAGCTTTGTTAAGTGGAAGGTGTACCTCGAATTCCTCTATTGATGATGTTATTGCTCGTCTAGTAAGTAACTTTCAAGAACCCCTTGCAATCATGCCATGTGAGTATATGGTGCTCACAATCAAACAGAATAAAGCAATCGAGGAAGCAAGCCGTCTGAGATACCCTTTACATCTCACAGCCACAGCACTACAGATATTACAATTGGCGAGAACTCGAGGTTCTGGTAATGAGCCTGATGTAGCAGCTGGGAGAGTATGGGATGGTATCGTCACATTTCCCATACCTGGCTTTGCATGAGGAGGTAGATTCGTCAAGGAGCGATATTTGAGCTTTGACGCTACAAATAGAAACCATTCTTCTTGGATACTGACATGGGGTATAGAATAAGTTTGGATGGCTGTAGATGTAGTCAAATTAACTTGCTTCATTGGCAAATATTACGCGGAAAATTCCCCGCAATTTATGCATCATCTCGTTCTTGCAGAAACTAGTAAATTTTGGCTCCTGCTGTGAGTTGTTTCAATTAAGTATATCTCCGAAAGTTAATTGTATCTCCAAATCTTCACAAACGTGGAAGCTTCAACTCGAAGAGAATGTGCAACTTAGAAATATGGAATGTCGTTGTTCTTGATACTATCGAGGTTCCAGATCTTTATGACATGTTTGTCCAATGTCTTCTACAACACGACTCAATACCACGATGCAAGGGCCCGTCCGTCCGCACACCCGAACCCCCCAAATGCTTTCCCACATCTAGTCTACCACCAAAAACGATAGATCATTATAGCTCAAGTGCTACTTCTAGTATAGTCTACTTTAAGTGTCTGGGCACATGGATCCAGGAACGGCTGGGGAATTATCGAATATGTTACGAGGGCGTGTTTTTGATGAGGGCCCGGGTCCGTGCGCAAGCACTTTTCACATCAAAAATCATCTACTTTAGAATTCAATATTAAATTTAATTAATATTATTATATATTTGAAATATTATAAATATATAGATTTTAATATAAAATCTTATAATATAATTTTAGAATTTATATAAAACTTTTCAATCTGATTAAAATCTATATGAAATTATTAGAACTTAAAATTATTATAAAAAATAATACTCATTTTAAGGATTGAAATTCTATATAAGATTTATCAATCAATATCTCATCAAACTCAACAAAATTAATATTGAGATAATTATTTATTAAATCTTTGAATATACTCTGAATTTCAAAGCTTTATAATAAATATTTGGATGATATTGTATTTATAAAAATAGGGAATAAAGCATAGTTTTGGTAAGGAAATTCGCTTAAATTTTATTCAGGCCCTTATCAAAAACAGGCCCTCGTATGTTTTGCGGCAATGCTACGGTAAGAATATCCTCCCGCGTCCTAGCTAGGCAACACGGAATCTAATTATGTGAGCTTGGCTTCGTCTCTTCTAAATGTGGTTTAGCGCTGTACGCAAGGACGTCTTGGATCTAGAGTGGATATTTTGGAGAGTCTTGGAATTGGTGCTAATTGTTCCTATAGCGGTACTTTCTCGGTTGTTGCTGCTCACTTTGATAATGGTTTGCTCGCCGTCGGAAAGCTATGTCGCTTATTGGTAGATTGGCACAGCTGTATTTCTAATCTTAATCCCGTGTGGAGAGGCTTAGTATGGGGATTCGGCTGCAAGTGGTTTTTCGTGCTCCTTGGCTATGGGTAATTCCATCGTATGATCTCATGCCTAGAAGTTGTCTTGGACGCGGAAATATGTCTATAACTTAAAGATCATTTCTCCTTTGATGTGCATTTATCTTGAGAACTGTACATGCCCATCTCGGTGTTCACAAAGATGCATTTCAAGTCTCTCTTATATGTTGCCGCTGCAATCCCTCTGAGTATTGCTGCCCCCACAACCGATGGCCCAGCAAAGAGAGCAGATGCTACATTCGATTATGTAGTTGTTGGCGGTGGAACCGCAGGGCTGACAATAGCCTCACGGTTATCCGAAGATCCGGGGACCACAGTAGCAGTAATTGAAGCTGGAACTTTCTACCAGGTAGGTACAAACAAACATCTTCATCACGAGACCATCCATGCATTTGCTAAACAGATTTAGATTACCAATCCCGCGCTCAGCTCAACGCCAGCTGGAGACTCTTTCTGGGCGGGCTCTAGTCCAGCTGATACCAATCCGCTCGTGGATTGGCAATTTGTGACGACGCCTCAAGCTGGTGCAGCGGGTCGCTCGATCTCGTATGCCCGAGGAAAATGTCTCGGTGGAAGTTCAGCGAGGAACTTCATGATCTATCAGCGTGGTACCACGCAGTCGTATCAGAAATGGGCCGATGCAGTGGATGATCAATCGTATACTTTTGATGGGCTCTTTCCCTTCTTTCAAAAGAGTGTTCGGTTCACTCCGCCGGGATCGAGTCGGGCATCCAATGCATCGGCAGAGTTTAGCGCTGTAAGTATATCTTATTCCTCACTCTCTTCGTGGAGAATACTGATTGAAATCTCTAGTCTGCATATTCGTCTTCGGGAGGACCGCTGGAGGTTTCGTATGCTAATTATGCACAACCTTTCTCGAGCTACATGGAGGGATCCCTAGGCGAAATTGGAATAAATGATATTCAAGATTTCAACACTGGGTCTCTCATGGGAAAACAGTATTGTAGTTCTACTATTGATCCTTCCAGCCAAACACGAGAGTCATCTCAAACAGCCTATTATGACTCTACAGTGCAGAAACGCTCAAATCTCAAAGTCTATTCACTCACCACGGCGCAAAAGATTCTCTTTGATAACGACAAGAAAGCTATCGGTGTCAAAGTCACATCACTCGGTTTCATCCCATACACAATCAATGCCCGGAAAGAAGTCATCATGTCAGCGGGCGCCTTTCAAAGTCCTCAACTTCTCATGCTCTCGGGAATCGGTCCCAAGGATACACTAGCGAAATGGAATATCCCAGCGATTTCCATCCTCGAGGGCGTGGGCCAAAATATGTGGGATCATATTTTCTTCGGTCCTACTTATCGCGTCAAAGTGCAGACATTAACTAGACTTGCCAACGATCTCATCTACACCGCCGCACAATTCATAGGTCCCTATCTAATCGAAAAAGTCGGCCCCTTGACCAACCCCATCTGCGATTACCTCGGCTGGGAAAAACTCCCCAGTTCCCTCCGCAACACTTTCTCCTCCTCCACCCTCAACGATCTCTCTCAATTTCCCCCCGATTGGCCCGAAATCGAATACCTCTCCGGCGCCGGCTACGTCGGCGATTTCGCCAGCCTCCCCACCACCCAACCCCGCGACGGCTACCAATACGCCACCATCCTCACCGCGCTCGTGGCGCCCCTCTCCCGCGGAACCGTCACCCTCGCCTCCACCTCCGCCTCGGACCTCCCCATCATCAACCCCTCCTGGCTTACCTCCCCCACCGACCAAGCCGTCGCCGTCGCCGCCTACAAACGCACGCGCGCCGCCTTCTCCTCGAAATTCATGGCCCCCGTGCTCATCGGACAGGAGTATTTCCCCGGCCCCTCCGTCTCCAGCGACGCGCAGATCCTCGAGACGATTCAGAAAACGCTGCATACGGTCTGGCACGCGGCGTGCACGTGTAAAATGGGGGTTCAGAGCGATCCCATGGCGGTGGTGGATAGCAAAGCGAGGGTTTTCGGCACCAAGGGCTTGCGAGTCGTGGATGCGAGCGCGTTTGCGATTTTGCCGCCCGGTCACCCGCAGAGTACGGTGTATGCGCTTGCGGAGAAGATTGCGGCGGGCATTAGGAATGGGGATTGATTGGAGTTTGGTTTGGTCATGGTGCTGGTGGAGTAAGGGCGCATGGCTTCACTTGATTGTTCACGAACTTTTTCATATCTGCTTCGTCTGTGTGCAAATGCTTATTCTAGACCTGTGTATCTTGCACGTCTGAGTAAAGTCTTAATTTTCATGTATGTATTTATTACCATAATTCTTTCTTTAGAACACGCATATCATAATATCCTATTCATTATCAAAGGGCAAACCATCCAAAATGTGCATCAACATCTTTTAGCAAAGGAAATTGCACGTCTGTTAATACTTCTCTACACATTACAGCAGTACCCAAAAATCCAGCATTCGATACGAAAAATCGAGATTGCTAAACTACTAATGATGGAGGAAAAGGACAGTAAATCAGAAGTGAATGCCAAGGAAACAATAACCTAGTATTGAGATCTATCAGGCAAAGAAAAATCATACAGATGTGTTCTGCATAAGCAGACACTTGACTGTTGTAATATAACCCCTATTTCTAATCCTGACGCAAGAGACAATTGAGTATGCAATAGTGTGTGAATATCTTTGTTCAAGTACATTGTGTGTTCTATTCGTCATATATATTCCGTATGTCCAAATGCTATTGTTTCAACGAAAACATCCACCGTGCTAAAAGTCAGGTATGCCGCTATAACTTGCTGTCTATCATCTCTTCGCATGTAAAAGCTTTCATGATTCTCTATTCTTCTTCATCTTCTATTGCCTGTTCTAATGGTTCTCCTGGCTTTGTGAATCTACCCGCTTATTAGTATACTTTCCTGAATCACCCTATGAAATATTGGTGAAAAACTTACTTATTAACTACTCTCTCAATCCCATCCAATCCCATTTTCAAGGTTTCCATAGTTGGACCGTAGGAAAATCTGACAAAATGGTGACAAGGACTGTCAAACAAATCTCTTCTCTTACTTGGGTTCAAGTCGAAAAAGATACCTGGGACGACAATGACACGCTCCTCAAGACATGCTTGGAAGAAGTTAAGACCGTCGGAAATTGCAGCCGGAAGTCCTTCAAGATCTGTAGTTTCATTAAGTTAGCATTTTTGTGCCCAAAGAATATTGGCGTTTGTTGATTCACCCAACCACAAGTAGAAGGTACTGTCAGGTACTTCCTTGATCTTGAAACCCATTTCACGAAGACGGCTGATAACATAATCACGCTTGTCACGGAAATGACTTTGCAGAGCCTTCATTTCCTCTCTAACCTTGTTAGGCTCAAGCATAGGAATGGCAGCCTCTTGGAAAGGAACATTGGCACCACCATCAAGGTATGAACCACATGAGCCAATGGCTTTGATAAATTCCTATTTCACCATTAGTAAGGCTAGCGATGTTTGGGAGATAGAGAGTAAAACAAACCTTTGGTCCAACAATCCACGCAATTCTCCATCCAGGTAATCTGAAGCGCTTGGTGAGACCATCAATGATCAAAACATCATCTTCATCGACATTTCCAACATTCTCAGCGGCACTGATTGTGGTACCATCGCAATTACTAGTGTAGTTATAGCCTCCATAGAACTCATCCATAATGAGAGTGGCTCTGTCTCTGCAGATATCTTGAATTTCAGCAAGCTCAGGGTTCTTGACAACCTTTCCGGTAGGATTTCTAGGATTTGAAGTCAAGATAACTGAGGTACCACGACAAATCTCCTCCTCAATTTTGTTAGGGTGAATGTGGTAACCGTCTTCTCCAGAGAGAGGAGATGGAATTGCCGCAAACTAATCGAAGTAAGCTTTCAAGTATTCTTTCCACCAATTGGAAAAAGGGGGTAGGGAGGTGACTTACGTTCTTGAATAGTGACAACATCTCATTGTATGCAGTATAATCAGGAATGAAAAAGCCCAAGTAAGCATTATTCAATACTGCAGCAATTCTGATCAATCCAGCACGACCACCTGGAACAATGCACACATTTTCCCAAGTATATTGACTTTCTTTGCCCTCTCTGTGATGTACATTGTACAAGTTTGCAACGGCAGCTCTTAAACTCTTAATACCAGCTGTAGGACCGTACTCTCTGCCTGCCATTGTAATATCGATGCTCTCGGGACGCTTGAAACTACCAGCGATTTCGTCGTCGACTTCAGGAGCTCCCTGTCCCAGGTTTGCCCATTTCTCAGGTTCCTCAGCAAATCCATGCTCATAAGCTCTTTCAGTACACCAGACTACACCAGTAGAGGCACGGGTTGGATCAAGTCCTGCGTGAGTTTTGTGGCCTTCGTGGGCATTGCGAAATTGCTTGTGAATCTTGGAGTCCATTTCTTCGTCCATGGTCAGCTAAGCTCTAAGAAGCGAGTGAATAAACAGTGCGACCTCCTCTACATGCATAGAGGGACCTGAATATGATAGTACATAGACATCTTTTACAATTTCTGCCCCGCAATCCCCGGCATTTTTTGAACCTCCCCCGAAATTGTGCCGTTCAAAAAGAGCTACTGCTCTAGAAGAAGATGGCTATATCTCAGAGAGATGCTATTGCTCTCCGGGATTATAGATGGTTTCTGTAAGAAACGTCGAGAAATAAAGTGAAGAACTTACCATTGGCAGAAGGATCATGTGTAGAGAATCTTCTGTTTGGCTTGGACGACAATCTTGGAGCTCCAGTGGACCTATTCATGGAAAACTTTCTGTTGTTAAACGCCATGTTGTCTATTGTTTCTTCTTTTTCTGATATGGTGTTGTATGTGATTTAATCAAAGGTCGAAAGCTCTCCTGTAATCTTATAAACAGCGAGGATGTATTCGTATGTACAAGCTAGTACAAGGCTGAGGTGAAGTGAATGATTAAGAATGGTTAAGAATGACTGAACGGCACCGTTCTTCTCTCTCTTTCAGCAAAATGGAGGAAAACCAGGTCTTAAGAACAAGAGCGGAGAAAGGAGACGGAAAGTGGGGTGTACAGTTCAGTTGGAGAGAAGATGGAGCAAGTGTATATAAAAAAGGATCAGAGTAATAAAAATTGGGTTGATTGGGTTCTCAATTCTGCCGTTATGTGCAACTCTGACCAAAAAATTAGTGGTCGCGGGGCGATGAACAGGGGATACAAGGGAAAAGCTTGTTTTCTTCCGCCTTATCGATTACGCAGCACAACCCGAAAAGATTTGAGAATGAGCCATTTCTGTGGAATATCGGTGTAGATAACGTACCCAGGGAGCTGTTCCCCCATACACCGGTCTTCATATACGATGTAATGCATTGCAACAAATCGCAAACAACAATGCAATCAATGAATGTCTCACTTATGACATACGAATTTAATATAAAATCTGCCGTCTTCAATCCAGGCCAGGTACCCTCTCTCGCCTCTCTCGAGCCTCTGCAGGATTACTCCACTGTTAAAGCCCCCGAAGCCCCCCCACCGAGACTAAAAGATTTAGAATGATTGGTGCCACCAACAAATATATCCACCCTGATGCTGCATCACGAGCCCGGGATTCTTTGGTATCTGGAATCTGGAATCTGAATACGACCTAAAGGCTAGTCACGTCCTGCAAAGCGTAGCGAATCGCTTAGTGTAAATATCGCGTGCAAAGGCGATCGTCACCGTTGGAGGAAGGCAAAAAGCTGCCCCTTCATCAACCTTCTTATAAATTTAGAGTCATCAATAACTTATATTGAAATTGAAACAGGTATGGTAAACTACATTTTGATTCTACAGGTGGATCTACGAGGATGAAAAAAGAAACTACTAAAGACAAGGAACTATTCGACTCTTAAGAAATATCAGCTGCTGAAGCATCATCCTCCAGCATTTGCTTGAAGGAGAATGGCTCAAAAGGTATGCCATCTCCCATGAAATGCTTGCTCATAGCTTCGACCCAATGCAAACGTAGACTGTGCAACATGGCACTAGTACCTTCCATAACAACCAATACGGCAATTGTGAGGAAAAACCATGCGGTGAATGTTACCACGACCATGAAGACACCTGCAACACCGGTCATATGAAGACCAATGGAAAGGGTCATATCCCACAACACAACGGAAAGTTGTTGATGTGCAAGGGACAATGCCCATAGACGAAGGTATGAGGCGGTGTGAGACACACAATTCAAGCAGAATTCTAGGCAATGTTAGTAACGATCAAACTATGAGAGTAAGAATCCATACCAATTGTATGAATAACCTGATGAATCATGACTTCAGAAAACTCAAATTCTTCATGTTCTTCATCTCCAATATCTTGTGTGATCATAGCGACACCTTCACCTTCGCTATTCATACTTATTCTACCGTCCAAAGTGTGGTCATCATCATCGTCGCCATCAAGTGCGCTAACTCGGGATGTTTCACCAATGCCTCTGTAACCTCTTCCTCGTGCTTTGTTGTGTTCCCATCGAAGATAGAATGGCTTGAGTAGTAGTAAAATTGGCACTTGGACGACGGCAATGAGAACAAGGCAGATTTGAACAAATCCTTGGCCAGAGTAAAGCTGCTCTTCAATAGTTCCGGGCGACAAGAACATGTAAATCAACATATTCAATAGACCTGGAGGCGATTCGCCAATAGCCTGCCAGTCTATTGACCATTTGTAGACAATGGCAAATACAAGGTAACCAAAAATAGCTTGGAAGAAAATCATGCCTGGGACAAACACGCCCCAGATATCAATAGGAGTCTTGAAGTGACGGGCATTGATATAGGACAAGCACAATGAGTAAGTCATATGGCACCAACCCATCAAGATACTCAACTTCATCTTGTAACTGTTGGTAAACAGAAGGTCGTTTTCCGTATCATGCCACATCCAGTCGAGACCGAAAGGATATCGGTATCCTGTTGGCTCTCTAAGATGAGCCTCAATAGAGTCAGGGTAATTCTCTGACCAAGCCCAAGCACTTGGAAAGAATGAGAACGACTTGGAGAATACATCATTGTAGATAAGACCAGTGTACATAGAGAAGATACCCATCATTAACATGATGTATCGACCATAGAAAGCCATTGAGAAAAGTTCATCGCGAACTTTCTTCAATGATTTCTCCCAATAGATCATAGCAGAAGCTGCGCAAACCATGATAACACCATGTCCGAAATCACCAAACATGACGGCGAAAAGGAATGGGAAAGTGACGATGGTTGGGAGACCAGGATTGACTTCTTGGTACTTTGCTGTACCATAAGCATTGATAATCGTTTGGAAGCCTTCCGTGAATTTGTTAGTCTTCTGGTAGGTCGGAGGAGTTTTGTTCGTCCTAATCTCATTGATAATCGAGGGCACAGAAAGGCCTGCTCTATTGTTGACATCGTGAAGAGTTGATTTGATCAAAGGCAAAGAATTGGAGGGGCACCAAGCCTCAGCAATCAAAGTCTTCCTTGCATGATCGTACGAGAAAAGATTCAGCGTTTGGTAGACAGCCTTCTCTTTCTTGATAATAACCATCCAGGCAGCCAAGCTCCGTGCAATTTGAGTGAGTTCAGCGTCAAGCGTTTGCTTTGTGTTACGAAGAACGCTACCAAGATCGCCCAAACGAGTATTGACCTCATGAATCTGGTCCCTACGAAGATCGCTATTCTCATCCACGCTGTAAAGATCCGCACCAAGAGACTCCGAGATCTTTCTAATCTTAGCGATAAGCTCCTTTCCATGTGCGAAAATGACAAAGACGTTTTTGTTGATGGCCTCGTTATTTGTGGGATCAACAATAGGTTCTGAGATCTCCGATTGATTCATGTAAAGATTACCTCGAAGGGTTCTCCATAAGATACGCTCGAATGCTGCAATACGATCCCGGGGAATGACACCGGACACGAACCCAATATTCATACCAGAAAACGACCGCTCGGCGTCCCCATTTTGGTGCGATTGTTCTATATCTTGCAGGAGGGGAGCATCGTCGTTGTCGGTGGAAGCTCTAATTTCATCCACATTTCCGTGAGCTCTATCGAAGAAAGACCCAGCCTCTCTTAAAACCCATCTCCATTCAGTAAGCTCTACCTCACGCTTCTTCAAAGTTTCATAGCTGTCATTCAATGATGCAATTCGTTGCTCGAGGCTCTGGCTGCGATCGGAAAGCTCGTCGATTTCGGTGGCGGAAGGAGCGGCTAGAGTTTCGATATCAAGGTCTAGCTTTCTAAGAGGGATTCCTGCTTTATCCATTTGGGTGTGAAAGTATCCTAACTTTCAATTAGTATCGATGAAACAAGAGATGGAGGTTGGCACATACGAAGCTGTCTTTCAACATTATCGAGTCGTCTTATCTCCTGAGTGAAAGTCCGTTGAAAAGCAGTGACGTCGGAGTTGAGCTGCGAAATCCATTAGTATTTCATCATAATCTGATAAACTTGAGACATACATCTCGAAACTGTATCTGCCCGAGCTCTCCCAATGCGTTTACAATCTCGCGTCCAATTTCGTTGGCGATGTAGAGTTGGACCAAACTCATGTCCGCCGAGCGGAACATGGTGTCCTGCGACGGTGCCATAATGAGAAGCTTGGGAGTGATCCCTAGATTCTGTTTTGGCAATTATGTGAAGCTTCCCAAGCAAGTTGAGGTAGGTTTGTAGGATTGATTTTGAGATTGTAAAATGTTGGAAGATGCAAGCACATCGTTACCGATATTAAGCTTCGATACCTAGCGCCCGACAATGTCCTGAGCTAGTCTATCACGTGATAATACACAGCCATTTCAATTCGCAATCCAACATATGGATTCTCTAACCTTTTCATGATCTGGACTGTGTATATAACATCTGGCCAAGTCTCTCGATACTCGATACAACTATATAATACCTACTTGAGATTCCTTTTGCAAGAAATGGCAAATTCCCCGGGTTTATAAACATCAACAAAGTCGTTTTGTTTTAAACAAACGAGACAATTCTTTCTATGCCATAATCTCTACTGTTGTTATTACCGTTCTTGTCATAATCGTCATTATCTACGTATGTATATCTTAACCCTGCACCCATTTTCTAAAAGGCTCAAATTGGACCTGCGTGCAAGCAAAGAAAAACATTACGAGAATTCGATCAACGGTGGATGAACCACAGAGCAATGGTACAGAATCTACGAGCGATCAGAGCACCGATGACTGTTGTGTATTTGTGACCAAGTAATCAATAATTTGCCGTAGAATAGGGATACGTCAAAACTATCAGTGTTATGACAAGCAAGGTATTCACGTTGACAAAGCAATCTTGTTGGTTGCAGATAGTCCTATAAATTGCATGGTCAGTTCGAAGATCGACGGCATATTGCTTCTGTGTACGGATCCAATAGTGCCGTGTTTGTCAAGCATTCAATCATTATTGAGCATTGGCGATGGTATCCCAGAGCCATTTTTTGAAATGCATCAGTAATTCGGGCATCGTTTCCTTTTCCCAGTAGATTTTCAGGCGGTTTCTGGAGCCTACCTACCTTATGATAGTGATTGATGCAATGCTCATTGCCAAACCAAGGCTTTAGATGTACACATGAAGTATCCCTATCCCTCGTTGTTGTCGTGGGTATAGATTCCACCCGCTAAGTAATTCCATCTTGCTGGGGCCGACGTAAAAGCTAGAAGGGCAATCGGGAGTAATTCGAAGCTGGAGTTGCTGAAGACTGGGTACACATTGAGTCCCATGGTAAGAAACCAGCCACAGCTTGACCCAAGTCCCGAATGTTGTAGGCATGACATGGCATAACATACCCAAAACTCAT